TCACACCATCTGGGAACATCCTCAGTTAATCCCAGCCTGTAGGTGAACAAAACCATGTTATACAGTCAACACTCTTAATAAGACATATTAATATTAGTAGGAAACGAAATTGGTGTCTTTAAATAACACCTTCTATAGCTAATATCAAAGAGTATGCTTTATAACACGTCTAAATGTATAATTATGAAGGTTACGTATTCATGGATAGTCTAACACTAGATGGCAATAGCGTCAAATTCCTATTAAACACAATATAACTCTTATTCCTATTCTGAAAATCAGATTTTGAGTTTAAAAAGATGATTATAATACATTCAATGTGACAATTACAAATATCCAGATGAAGAAAGACATAAATGTTCATTTGATGCAGAATTGAAAGCTGTGATTTAATTCAGTTCTTCAGCAGATGGTCAATTTTACGACTTTGCAGAGACTGGTTTCGGTCACAGTTCATGTCTTTGGGGTCAATTCGTAGATAGCAGAGTGTTCTGTTTCCGCTCGATTGTTTATTCCAGGTGTTGTAAAAGTTCATAACATCCTGTCTTCCAGAGCCTGTCTGAGAGGGAGACTTAAGTCATTGATCAGTTCCTTTGTTCCTTGGTAAAAGTAGACAACATGTTAATCCACAGTCCTGAGTCCTGCAGGAAGAGAGGTCGTAAATCGTGTCTGCTGATAACAGCTACACAAACATAACAGAAAATCATCCATGCCTCAGTGTACATCCCTGCATTGATTTAAAGAGCCCATATTATGCCCTTTTTGGGGTTCGTATCTTTAATCTATGTACCTACTGAAGTATGTTCACAATAGCTAAAGTTATAAAAAAAAGTGTCTGTTTTCATGTACTGAAAATACATAACCACACCAGGCTGATACCTGATATTTTATAGAGGTTCTATTAGTGTGTTCGTTATGCAAATGTTAAGGCAGAATTAAGTCATTAAAGAGTGGAACTTGTGTGAAAGGAAATGTAATAACTTATTCTTACTGTCCTGAAATCAAGGTTGTTTCATGATTATTACTGAAGGTTACACACAAAGGTCCCAGAGTCAACGTTAACTTTTTTGAATATCGCACAAATCTGTTTCCCCTAAGTTAAAATCATTCATAAGATTTATATACCAGCTGCGTTTCTTATAACAAGATTCAATTTTGAAGGACCCCTCTTCTGTGGTGAGACTGAAGAAACCTTAACGTAGGGGTTCTCAAACATGCAGCTTGGACCCAGAAAAATAAGTGGGCCAGAGACTGAGGACCCCCACTGTCCGGTGGTTAAGGTATATAACACATAGCCACACCCACGCGAGGCCATTCCAAACACTTACACACCAGCCTATAAACAATTATTTTAAATAGTAATTAACTGAAAGAAAGGCCAGAAGTCATTTCCATGTATACATTTTAGTGGACAAACAAAACTTAAATAATACTTCATAATAGACACACAGGTGTGGTCATCTTTTTGTGACACCTTTATTATTACTCAAGGTGCCAACTTACATTAACTAACATTCATTTAATTTCACCTGATGAGAGGGTTATATTTTAAATTGGATTATTTTATTATATATTCTCACAATGAAGGGTAAATATACAATTTTAAATTATTTTACATTTTTATTTTACTTTTTGGAAGGCATCTCGCCACTCCACTTCTCAGTTGCTCGCAAGGCCCCCATTTTGGGAAGCATGCCTCAGAGCACTTAGAGAAAATAATGACAGAAGCATGATATAGACGGGTTGGCACTTTGAGAAACACTGATAGCAAATAAAAAATATTACACTTGCACTTTTTTTGGTTTTTAGGTTTCCCCAGTTTGCATCATATATAGCATTTAGCATTGTAGCATCTTCTGTTGCAGCTTGAACTTTGTATGAACAATGACTGCAAAGTGACTAAGTAGTCCTTCAGGGGGTCGACACAGCAGTTCTAGTCAACTTTGCCGTGATAGTGTGTGAATTTGTTTTTGTCCTGTCTCTCAAAGATTTCGGGCTAAAATGATAAGTTGTTTATTATCACTCAAAATGAATGACATTCTTACATTACATTTTTACCTATAGATAAATATAATATTATTTATAGCAGGGGAGAAATAGTAAGCCCTCCTTTGACTGGTTAATAAATGACTTTAAACTTATTTTCTTATCTCTTAAAATATGAACTCTAGCAGGAATGCAAGAAAGATTCGTGCTGGTCTAAAATGTTGTTGTTTTTAATTCTGTCCCTCATGGATCTTTTATTTCTTGCTTCAGTTTTTGCCTTATTTGATATGTCATTAGGTATAATGTATAAACTCACATTTCAGATTTATTTTTCAATGAGTTTTATCTGAACCTATATAGGTCTAAACCTATGTTGTCCAGGGCATTTTGATTTGTGGAAAAAGGGGATTAATACCATTATGTGATTTACAGGGGTACAATTTCCAATGGACCCTGCAGTAACTGTTCTGTTAATCTGTTTAATGATGAGTGTCACATTTCCCTTATGGACAAGGGGGACAATACACACAAAGTCTGAAATTATAGTCCAGTGATGGAAAGCTAAACCCCTAACCCTCATGATATCCTGAATACTCTGGAGCTTTTTAGATATTTCTAACCTGAATTGAATCAACAGTGCTCAACAGAACACAATTTTGAGATCGATAAACTTGAAATGGAACTTAAAAAATCTTCATCTTATTAAGGAAACTCTGTGTGTGTGTGTGTGTGTGTGTGTGTGTGTGTGTGTGTGTGTGTGTGTGTGTGTGTGTGTGTGTGTGTGTGTGTGTGTGTGTGTGTGTGTGTGTGTGTGTGTAGGTGATAGGCCTACTCCACAGTCAGGCTGCGCGCTGACATGCGCACTGAGAGGCAGAGAGCTGCAAATCTCGCTGTGCTGGAATTTCCTGCAGACTACGGAGTCACGTGCGCTCATGTGTTTACCGAGTGAAATCCACGTGTGAGCCAGCAGACCCCGCCCCTGTGAGCCAGCAGACCCCGCCCCGCCCACCGGAGTTCATAAAAGTTCAGCCGCTGTCAAGGAATGAGAAAACTTCGAGAGCTTAACAAGGAGCTAGTTTGTCTGCTACGTTTGAATTGAGCAAGCATATTTGAATTATTCGAGAGGGACTAGTTTTTGAAAACATCCTTTAATAATAATTACAGCTGAGCTGTTCTGAATAATATCAAAGATAAGCAGATAAAGAGAGCTGCTTCATTCATCAAGTTTGAAACAAGAAGTAACTGGAGCTGACTGCAGACGACCAACATTTTCAGTAAAACCACTAAAACAGCTCTTTGTGTGCTTTTAGTTGAATGGTTATTTCTGTGTTTGTATGCAGCTCTAGAGGTCTACATATTAAATTGGTCAGACATGTAGGCTACACCATGTATTCTGCTTGGATGTCCAAATACTGTCGTTTTATATTTAACTATTATTTTTTACAAATGTGTTAAATACTAGCCTAATTGTAGCATTCACAAACCATATCACCTTAGTTGTGTATGTTTTTGATATCCGTACGTTTCACTTCAAGTGTGTGTTTGGCCGAGAATCTTAAAACACATACTGACTTCTTGAATGAGTCATTTCTTTAGTTTGTATTTTGACGGGGAGGGGGGGTTTGAGGGGGGTTTGTGAGGCTCCAGTGACAGCCCAGTGCCCGGCCGACACGAGCTCCAGCCTCATGTGGAGCTCTGTAGTAAACTGGGCAGGGTCTTATTGCTCCCGTGCGTGACTCGCTCTCCCGCCACGGCTTTGAATCAGTTCCTCCCTTCACCATCCCTTCACCATCCCGCGCATGGCCCCGCCCTGTCATCTCTCTGACGTCATATCCAGGGATGAGAAGAAGTGGGGGGGAACAATCAGAGAAACACATTCTTAAAATAGACTACATCTGATGTTCCCCTTCTACTGCTCTGTGCCTGTCCATTTTAAAAGCGCAAATAGTTAACTAATATTAAGCCTCAAAAGGTTCAGGGGGTCCCAAGACCTTTTTGTCAGTTCAGATATTCTCCCTATAAGTATCAGTTTTTTTTGTGGTTCTGTTTCGTTGATTGTGTTATGCTGAAAGTAAATTAATTTCCTAAAAGTTCAGACATTCCTCTGCTGAGCTGTTCAGTGAGGGCACAGCCCCGTCAGACAAAATGTGTTTGGCAAGCGTTCAATCCATATTTATTTTAAGTTATATAACAACAGTGTAATTTAAAAAAAATGAAATGTTTGTGATAAAACTGGTAAACCCTGGGGCATCGGTGGCGCAGTGGTTGGTGTGCGCGCCCCATGTATGGAGGCTATGGTCTTCCAGGCGGGCGGCCCAGGATCGAGTCCGGCTTGTCGCTCCTTTACCGTATGTCATTCCCTGCTCTCTCTCCCTGATTTCAGACTCTATCCACTGTCCTATCTCTACAATAGAGGCACAAAAAGCCCAAAAATAAATCTAAAAAAAACAACTGGTAAACCACTCTGTACTTTCCTCATTTGATGAATTTGATCTGCAAAAGTGTGATATCCATTATTTTAACCATAATTTCATTATATTGGCAATGACCTCTCCTCTCCTTTTTTGAGATACTTTAACTAAATTGTTAGGGTGGGCTGCAAATGGTTTCTTCTTCTGATTGTTCTCGCCATGGGAATCCTGGGGCCTCATTATAAATGGCCAGGAAGGGCCCAGCCCTTCCTGGTCATTTATAATGACTTCTTATTCTCCTGAGACTCATGTTTCCTTCTTGAAGCTCTTATAGGAAAGAATACCACAATATAATAATCCTTATGAGAATTTTGCATAAAGTTGCTGTAACAAATAAAAACATCCATGAATGTCACATTCTCTCTGAGCTTCATGAATGAATATCAGCTGCTTGTTCTGTTGAGCAGGCTGTCTGTGGACGGTCTATTGTCCCCCTAGTGGTGACTTTATGTGCCTGCAGTTTTCACACCCTCAGCTGAGGACTTGTCTGAGTAAGATTATGTCCAGGCATGTACCAGTGTTTCACGCAGGAGGGCTCAGTGAGTCACTGCCTGTCTTATAAAGAGCTCACAGCATTACTCTATTGAGATGCTCTCTACTTTTCATTGAGGAAACTCAACCTTTTCAGAGTCATGGTAAGGGTGATTTTTAAAATTGAGGCAGTACAATTTACTTTATTTGGGACTTTAAGTATGAATTTGAAAGTCTGGTATTGGAATTTTGTTGGCTTTAAGATTTTCTTTTTTATTAGGAGGGTTAATGCACCTTTTTTTGCAATGTAACACATTTCTCAGAGCAATTCATCTACAGACAGCAGTTTTGTTCTAACCTGAGATTTTCTCTGTTTCCTACAGTGTCGAATAATGGCTTCTCACAAGATCCTGAGCACCCAGGGGAACGGCCCTACTCGTCGAGCTCTGTTTGGCCCAGTTGACCACGAGCAGCTGCAGAGAGAGTACCAGGCTGCCCTTCGGAAAGATTTGGAAGAGGCCTCGCACCGCTGGGGCTTCGATTTCCTGTCAGACAAGCCTCTGGACAGCAGTGACTTCCAGTGGGAGGGAATACCAGGAACCAAGGTGCCGCTGCTGTACAGATCTTGCATGTATGGTCTGGGACAGGCTGGAGGTCGGAGGGTGGCAGCAGTTGCGCTCAAAGGTGGAAAGATGGGGTCGTCGGAGAACGATAAAGAGAACATCCCCCGGACGCCAGAGAGATGTGCTAAACTCAACCTTGAAAAAGTGGAGAAAATGCCAAAGAGAGGAGGGAACAGAGGGCTGAAGAGGAAGCAGACAAACCTTACAGGTAAGCATTGAGCTTTCAGAAATGTAAAAGAAAAGAGTGTAATAAAACTTTGGGGTTGCATGAGTTGAACTTACTGTTCTTTATCCCAACAGATTTCTATCAGGCTAAAAAAAGAGTTGTTGGGATGCAGCGGAAATCTGGCGAGTGATTCTAATCGCAAAGGTGCCAAAACATCAAAAAGAACCACACAGACACTCAGGAAAACAACACTGTGCAAACTCACAGACTCTGCAGTTACTCATCAGGGGGTCCTGTGCCAAGTGATTCATCCGACAACAGAAGGGACCTCAGCTACATATCTTCACTACGGTTAATTAGGGTACTGTATCAATCCTGGGATTGGGGTGGGGGGGGGGTTCCAGTGTTAAGAAGAAGGGGACATTAAGGCTGAGAAGATTATCAGTAATCTCTCAGATCAGTAGATTTATACTCATTTGGATCATTGGGATGCCTAAGTGTTGACTGACATTTCCCACTGTGCATTCCACAGTGCTGAAAACATTCAAGTATAGAAACATGACGGATGAATATATTATTTTACACACTTGAAACATATTCCACATATACGAAGGTTTGAATCATTCTGTCCTGAAAGTAAATTATGGAGTGTCTGCGGAATGATTGAAAATTGGAAGAAAATGGATGAAGCTCTTTTTGCTCATTTGTTCAAATCCACATTTTATTTTGTTTTTCTAAGATGTTTGTTCTTTCTGTGTATAACAAGGGCTAGAAGTCTTTTTTTATACAAGCACATCCTCTACAAAGTGTTTTTTACTTTATATTTCCAGATGTGCTGTTGTGTTTTCTCTACCATCATGTCCTCATAGGAAAATGCTTGAAAACTTGTGATATCATGTACATGCAAACGCTTCGCTTAGATCCTTAATGACAGAAGTGCCATCTTGTCCTCTTCCAGTCCTTCCATCTACTGTGTGTTCATTCATTTTCAGAGAAGAACTAAAACAAAAAAAAGCCCAGCCCAGACTGCCATGTCAGAGTCATGTAGTATAGGTTAGGAGCATCACACTTTGTCTATAGAAAACTTATATTTATGCTATTTAGATATATTTAGAGATTTATCCATATGATTTAAAACAGCACTCTTAAGTAGCATTATTATTAGAAAAAATAACAACATTTTTGCAGTATTGCACAAACAGATGGTGTAAACAAAGCACTCAGTTTAAAGCCTTTTGGCATGTGTTTTGGTATTTGAATCCCCATTAAGGACAATAATGAGGAAGTGTTCTTATAAGCAGTTCAATTACTAAGCTAAATGTAATCCCTTTATTCTTTCTATTTGGACGCATCGTGCAGTTATTATATAAATGCTGTTATCTGCCTTCAGTAGCTAACTTCGTTTGTTCATGACACTTATTAACGTTTATGTTGGCATACCCCGCTGCTATGGGTGACCTCAATGGGTATGGAACAAAGCTACTGTAATGGGAACTGTCACAAACTCACAAGTTTAGAAATATTTGCCACTGTTATTACAAAGCATGGCACATATCAGCTTTACCCCAAATGATGAATGCACTTCTGTTAACAGTTGCTTGTGCACATGTCCTTTATATTGTTTTGCTAAAAGCTACAAATGAAAAGATCTATTCTTATTTATTGTGTGAGACTGTGCCTTGTGTTGATTTAGTTATTTTGGTTCATTTAATTGTGGGAATTATATATATATTTCAATAAAATGTATAAATCGATCATTTTTTGTGGTGTTTATTCTTTTTAATCATTCCTTTTATCCAAGTTGGCGTGTGTGCCAGTAAATATGATAAATAGACAACCTTTGAGATTTTATAAATATTCCAGTATTATAGAGTCGTCTGAGTCATCAAATTTACAGAAAAAATACTGCAGCCATTTTTGAAACGGTAATTTTTAACAGTTCAAACAGGACGGTTTCTGTGCTTTAAAGGACACAAAACATTTGTAATAATCCAATAGCATACAAGTATCAAATTCCTGCCGGGGGGTGGGGGGGGGGGTGGGTCACACAGGATGAAATGGTTACTCCAGAAGTTCCTCCTGGTCCAGGGCCTTTCTCTATACAGCTTTTTCTTCTGGCTCAGCTTCCTCTTCATCACCAAGGTTTGGTACGATGACTGCATTACTACTGAGGCTGTGTATGGTAACATTGTCATATTGACATAAAATATGTCATATTTAATTTTTTGATCACACAAGTCACTTTATATCATCACTGGTCACTTTAACTTGCCATCCACTACACATCATTCATAATTGTCCTGTATTGTTTAACTATTTATATTATTTTGTATATACATCGTATTGTTGTTTCTATCTGTATTTATCTTATCTATCCTGTGTATTTTGTATTACTTCCTTCTCTGTGTTGCTGCTGCAACGCCTGAATTTGCCCTCTGGGGATCAATAAAGTATTATCATATCCTATGAGGTGTCATTTGTTTTAATAATAACCTGTATATTTAATATTTTGAGATGTTTTTGTTTTAGAATATTTTATATATATTACTACTTGTTCCCTTTTAAGTGGCTAGTTCATGATCATGATGTCCCTGCACAGACAGACCATGACTACTTCAAAAACCTGACATGGCACAATTTGAAGGAACATCCTCAAGTCACATCTCAAACACTGTGTACTGTGGCTCTACATCACTGCAGCCCCACATCAGTGCACACTGAGTGTACGTGTTTGTTTTGGGGGTGTTTAGGGGATGAAAGGCCTGCAGCAGGCTCTGCCACAGGCTTTGCTCTGTCCCTCCCTCATGTGGCCACAGCAGCACAGAGGCACCTGCACGCCTGCGCTAAACTCTCCCATCCCCCCCCTCCCGTTCCCCTCCATCATCTGTCTCTTAGCTCCCACATCCATTATAGGACAGGACAGCTTGCATTTGCATTTAGACTGAAAGAGAGGGAGCGCGGGAGAGAGAGGTAGGAGAAACAGGGGGAGGCGGAGGGAGCATATGACACAAAGGAGGGAGAGAGAGAGAGAGAGAGAGAGAGAGAGAGAGATTAGAGCATCAGGGAGAGGGAGAGAGGGAGGCTGCAGATATCGATGGCATTAACAATGGAATATTAGGATCCACTGAGGTGATAGTCAGCCATACAACGGCTGAGGGTAAAGATATTTGAGGAGGGGGGCTCCTCCTCTCGGTGAGCACTGGGGGAGGAGGAGGAGGATGGGCCTCGAACACAGACTTGCGATGGCACTGCAAAAATTGGATTAAAGCAGTATGGTAACGTTTCTAATTTAAATCTATCGCTGTGCAGCTTTGCGTCTCATCCTCATGTGTCCTGATTCACGCTTGTTGACACCCATCGGCCACCCATCACGTCACAGTGTGTCCTAACACCGACTGAGAGAGGCACATCTCCTTATCCTCTACTCCATCTCTCCCACCCCTGTCCTCTGTTTTTTTTGATTTGCCATAGACATCTTTCATCTCCATCCTCATCGCAGACCTTGTATTTGCCTTCCGCCGTTTGGTTCATCACCGGACAATCACACGTTAGCTGTGGACATCTGCTCCGTGTTGTTATTGTTGTCTGTTCTCACCCATATGTACCGATGGATACTGCATCGCATATGTAGCTCCAGCTTTATTATGTAGCTCCAGGTCTATTATAGTCATATGTTCCCTCTTTACTACGATGTGATTGTAACCTACTTTTTGTAAAAAAAAAAATATATAAAAAAAAAAAACATTGCCTGCCTTGCTTCGCTCTGGTTGATTAATTTTAGCCCTTCTGCTCTTTCCACACTGTCACGCACATGAAACGCATATCCCCGCACAGTTCTGTCTGGGGAAAACTAGAGCAGCGTTATGAGATGTTTTTGGTGTCATGTGTGCGCCTGAGCTCATGTTTGCAATCTTTTGACGTCAGGTTGAGGGTTTATTAACAACCCTACCATCTGCCCTGCTAAAGATAAGCTATAAATATCAGTGTGACCAGGGGATCCCCTGGTGCATTAGTGAACACAGGGGAGATGCTGCTGGTTTCATCATGTTTACTGCACAGGCATAATGGTTGATGCTAGAATCCAAAGATTTGCCTTCATGGACCATCAGCAACGTTTCACATTGTATTCTCATGTTCATCTCTAGAAGGAAAGATAGGCCAGAGTAGGTTTGTTTGTAGAGTCTGAGGCTATGCAGGGCAGGAAGCAGCGTTGTTATGTATCATCTAATTAATGCATGATGGCCTTTCTGTGTACTCTCTGATTCCTCCACAAAATCAATCATGGGCATGACCAACAGGGGTGGAGAGTAAATAACTGCAAGTCATTTCAGAAGCCAAAGTAGAACGAGGTACAGTATGAGTTATGAGTTATTTTAAGAGTCCCCCCCCCCCAGCAAAAACAGCACCCATTTGGTCAACATTTTTTAGAGACAATAGAGACAGAGTTCTGAGAAATGCTATTTTTTGTCAGGTGTTTTGTTGAGTTCATAGGCCAGAACCGTTTCATTTTAACTCAAGTAAATACTGCATAATGTTCATTCTTTATTTATTACTGAAAACCTCAGTTTGTGATAAGTAACACAACCATTACATTCATTTTAATCAGGATGCAATAAACCTCTATAACTATTGAGTAGTTTCATAAATGGGATGTATCTTGTACTTGAGTTCAGTTTAGTTGATTGCACCTCATCTATAGTAGTTTTCTACTCTCTACCCCTGATAACCCCTCACTGCCCTTTTTGCCCCTTAAGCTGGACAAGAGTGAGGTGGCAACTCTAGGCCTACCCCCCAACACCAGCCATGGAGGCTCTGACAGTAACATCAGTGCAGATGGAGTGGGGGCAGCGGCAGCAGCGGCAGCAGCAACATCAGCGTCAGCGTCAGGGGTCACAGCAGGCAGTGCAGAGTGTTCGGGGCCGGCGAGCCGCAGCGGACCCGTGTTGCTCTGGAGCACTTGCAGCAGAAGGTCCTGAAGGTCACCGAGCAGATCCGCGTGGAGCAGGAGGCCCGTGATGACAATGTCGCAGAGTACCTGAAGTTGGCCCACAACGCAGACAAACAGCAGGCATCCCGCATCAAGCAGGTGTTTGAGAAGAAGAACCAGAAGTCCGCACAGACTATCGCACACTTGCACAAGAAACTAGAGCACTACCACAAAAAACTCAAGGAGATAGAACAGGTAGGTGAGCAGGTGCATTTTGTAAACATTTGGTGTCTTTATTTAAGGGCTGTGTGACTGTCACTAACAAGTATCAGGACTGATGATTTGAATCTCCTAACACTTGTTACAACCAGTGCATCACCTGGTTTCTCAGCATTCCTCATCTCTCATCCTAAAACCTTATCACCTCTCTCCTACCTCTGAGATCCTCCACTTCTCTGCTTCCTCACTTCTCTTCCCTCTCTGCAGAACGGACCAGCCCGCCAGCCTAAGGATGTCCTGCGGGACATGCAGCAGGGATTAAAGGACGTCGGGGCCAACGTACGAGCTGGAATAAGTGGTTTTGGAGGGGGAGTAGTTGAAGGAGTCAAAGGTGGAGTATCTGCCCTGACTCACACAGCTGTGGTCTCCAAGCCCAGAGAGTTCGCCAGTCTCATAAGGAACAAGTTTGGCAGCGCAGATAACATTGCTCACCTGAAGGACACACTCGAGGACGGAGTCGGGGGCCACTCCGAGGATACCCCCACACCTCGTGCACTGAGTGGAAGTGCCACTCTGGTGTCCAGCCCAAAGTACGGCAGTGACGACGAGTGCTCGAGCGCCACGTCTGGCTCAGGAGCCGGCAGTAATTCATGTGGGGCGGGAGGGGGACTGTTAGGGCCAACCATGGGGAGTCCAAGACTAGATGGGCACCACCACCACCACCATCACATGCACAGCTCCTGGGACTCTCTACTCGAGAGCCTGCAGGAGATTAAAGCCAGCCAGGCACATATGGAGGACGCCATCGAGGACATGAAGGGCCAGCTGCAGAGCGACTACTCCTACATGACTCAGTGCTTGCAAGAGGAGAGATACAGGTAAACTTCCTTAAACAAACAGCTTAATATCAAATCATAATCCACAAATGAGCAGCACTTTGTAAAAGAAAAAAAAAAAGGTAAAAACTTTGAGCTGAACCAGACTCATTTTGGATACACACAAACATATACAGACAAGGATGATGTGCACACAACAACAGATAATAGAAGTATTCTACCAATACTAAAAGTAATGGTAGAATATGGATACTAATGCTAATAACAAAAATCTAATACAACAATGACTGATTATAATATTTTTAGTAGTTGGAGTAAAGTAGGCTCATGGCAGAAAACAGAAAGCTGACAGGGACCCTTGGAGATAAGTCAATATATTCACTTAAAGTTAGTGACATACATCAAATGATTGTACTCAAATAGAGAAGAGAGAGGTGGAGGAGATGGAGGCTCCATTGGCGGTTCTAGGCAGGGACCAGTGCCCCTGTAACACTGAGCTTGGTCCCCCCTTTGACCACCCCTTTCAAAATGAAGAGCCCCCCCCTCATAACACATACACAGTATTTGACTCAACAACCGAACTCGCAATCTAGTATTAAATACTGAAACAAATATAAATCATGGTATTTTATGTTGTGGTATTTAATGATGTGTGCTATTATTTGGCATAATATATATACATATTAAAGCGATCATCTTTGTCTATTTTTCACCTGGGTTTAATGTTCCCCTCTGACAAAACAGCTGGCCCCAGTTTGGCCCCCTCAGGAAAAGTGGTCTAGAACCGCCACTGGGAGGCTCTGTGAATTGAATCCTCTGACAGTCTAAGCTTATATTCTATATCTGATGTGTGGTCCAAGGCAAGCACTAACTATTAGTTTTATCAAAGGGAAAGTTTTGAAGCCATAAAAAGTAGAGAATGTTTCTGCCTGGTTGATGATTCCACAGGAAAGAGGCCTCATGTTTCAAAGCCCTGCTTTCTATCATACTTCAGGGGGAATGGGAGGAAATGAAGGTTTTAATTCTATGATCTTTTAATCTTTTTGTTTGTTTTGTACTGTGTATTCAGGTATGAGCGACTTGAAGAACAGCTGAATGACTTAACAGAGCTGCATCAAAATGAAATGACAAACCTAAAACAGGAACTGGCCAGTATGGAGGAAAAAGTTGCATACCAGTCCTATGAACGAGCAAGAGACATTCAGGTAAGATTCCACCAATCTGAGCTAACTGACCCCAATGAAGACACAGTATGTCAGCTGCTTTGGTCCCCAAGTGGACCAAAACATGTTGAGTCATTAATAGTGGGAGACCTTTAGTTTTTGAATGATATGTTAATTAATACACATTCAGGAATGTAAAGGGTTTAAGTCTTATACTTCTTTAGTTTTATTCTAAACTTAAACTTTTTTGGGGTTACTAAATAATCTTTTTAATGGTCAACCATCATATGTATCATTCATGACACCATTTAAATGATTTTTTTTACCTGTTAAATGGTGGCTGACTTGCAAGGAATTGGAGAGTCAACCACTTAAAACCAGTGAGAGAAGAAAAAACCTGAATGCAGAAATGTCCTGTATGAAATCAGCAAAACTATTTAACATCAGCAGAAATGACAGCCTTAGTGAAGGACTTGTTGTTTTGAGACCCTTTAGTATGAGGTTTCTGTTTGTGTGTTGGTTCGTACAGGAGGCTGTGGAGTCCTGCCTGACCCGCATAACGAAGCTGGAGCTGCAGCAGCAGCAGCAGCAGGTGGTCCAGTTGGAGGGAGTCGAGAACGCTAATGCTCGAGCTCTGCTGGGCAAACTCATCAACGTCATCCTGGCACTCATGGCGGTGCTTCTGGTCTTCGTCTCCACCCTGGCCAACTTCATCACCCCTCTGATGAAGACGCGGGCGCGGGTGGGAGCCACTGTCCTCCTGACCTTGCTGCTTTTCGTCCTGTGGAAGCAGTGGGACTTTTTGGAGCCTTGGCTGCTGCCCAGCTGAGCTCCCTGAGACTTCAGAGCAGAGAGGCTTCTTTCAACTCAGTCACCGTTTCAGGATGCAGAGACTGAAATAGAATGAGGGCGACTGCAATTATTTCCTTTGAGTGTGGAGGTGGGGCATCTGAGGACAAAACATGGCACTTTTAGTTGATCTAGCTGACAGAGAGTATTCAGAGGTGTTTACAATGAAGCACTGTTTGCCAAGCAGCAAAAGACATTATCTCATCCAGCCAGTGATGGGGACAAATCATCAATTGGCATTGTGGTCACCAAAAACTGAATTTCTTGACAGAAGTCTTTGGACTGTCTTTTTCTAGTCATTTATGATACAAAGAGTTAAGCAACTTCTAATGACTTTACACTGCTGATCATTGTTGCTGTAACCTTCATGTTGAAGCTTAAGTATAATTCATAGGAAAAGTATTTTTTTCAAGAATGTTGTGTGCTGATGCATGTCCTCATATGTGCACTAAGATGCATCTAGCTGGCATGAGTTGACTTTTCATCAATCTTCTATAACTGCCATTTTGTTGTCTGGATGATAGTGCAGATATGTTCTCAACAGAGTGTCATTCCTTGGTTTGTCTCACATCTTGTTCTGGTGCTTTTAGACGCATTTCTTTTCTTTTTTTTGTCTGGTTCTTGAAGTTCAATGAACTGCATTAAAAAAGACTGCCTGGGAAACCTCCGCATAATAATGAATCAACACAAAATCACGTCCATAAAACTATTTAAAACCACTTTTGTCAAACTAAGACTATCCACAGTGTCAAACGAACAGGCATGTCAAATTGTATTAAAGTTTATATCCAGTTTGCAAAAAATAAATATAGCTGTTTTATCAAACTAAAGGAATAAAGGTTTTCATAAATGATGCGGACCTTATTAACTTTGCTGAGACTTTATGATGGCACCTTATTGCACCTTTCATAGATGCTTTAAAGTTTTGACTTGTTGCTTAAGTTGATGCTGTTAATGTCATTTTTGGTATGCCGGTTCATAAAAAGAGCCTTTGTACATAAGATCACTTATTTAGACCACAATCCATTCATCGATTCATTAATGGATAACCAACATCTCTAACTTTATTATGACCAAACAGGAAGCTAAACAAAAGTCAGAGGGATTTCTACCTGGCAACCCAAAATGCTTTCTGTGTCTTCATGCTGCTCTGTAAAGCAGTGATAAATAATTGATCTACCTCTAATGAAGCCAATTGATACATTCTATACATATTTAATGTAATTCATAAATGCCTCTTTCTATTTGGACATGGGTACAAAATGAATATTCGGTTAGGAAATGTAAAAAAATAGCTTTTCATGAAGAAACTGAACTGAAAATGAAAGTATTTGAAGCAATGAAGCTGCATATGACTAGAACCCTTTGAATGTTGGTGTATTGAATGTTCTCATTTTAAAGTAAATAATGCAACTTTGAGTAAACAGTCTTGCTAGACACCCTTGCTAGAAATGTAGCAAAGATGCTAAGCAATTGCACAATCTCAGAGATAAAGGAAGTTAATCCTTTTTTATAAAACATTTTCTATACATTCGCTAACATAATTCTCCAAAAGCTATAGGACGTACTTCACAAAGTGAGGCTATCTCTGCAAAACCTCTGCATGCACTGAAATATAGCCTTGCTAATCTTCTTTTTTTTTTGCGTTTGCATACAGCTTATCATTTGTAAAAATGAAGAAATATATTATCTATTCCGCCAAAGGAGCGGTCTCAATCATTGTTTTTAGTTAGTATCAGAAGTACAACCCCATTTCCTAAAAAGTTTGGACATTGCGTTAAATGTTAATAAAGCAAACTGTGATGATTTACAAAACATTGAAAACCCATATTTAACTGAAGCAAGGGTAAAAACAATATATCAAATGTTGAAAATGAGAATATGCCCATTTTGAATTTGATGCCAGCAACACAAAAAGTTGATAACGGTCGCAATCTGTTGCATCACTTTTTCTTTTGGAACTGAGGAGACCATTTTCTGTAAATTGATTGTTTTACCATTGTTGCTTAATGTGGGATTTCCTTCTTATCTCACGCTTCATAAAGAGACTCACTGAGATACTCTTTTTTTAAACATCAATCTGTTCATAACCTGTTGCTAGTTAGCCTTATTAACTGTGTGATGTTCAATCAGGTTTTTTTGAGCACCCAGCAAACGTTCAGTCTTTACTTGCTACTGTCCCAACTTCCGTGAAACATGTTGTCTGCATCAAATTCAGCCAAATCATATCATTAGGTATTTCATTTTCATTGTTCAGCATTTGACATGTTGTCTTTGTGCTGTTTTCAAACATATGGGGTTACAATGTTTTGTAAATCATCACATTCTGTTTAATTTACATTTTACACAAAGTCTCAACTTTTAAAGATTTGGGGTTGTACTTAATAAAATCTTGTAAACAATGATTTGTGGTTTATGCAACACTTTATAGCTTTATACCATCTGATTTGTATCAAATACATTGTTTTTGTATTTAAGACTTTAAAAATAATTTAAAAGGGGCGCTAGTGGCACAGTGGTTTGTGTGCGCGCCACATGTGTGGAGCCTGCGGTCTTCCGGGCGGGGTTTGGATCCGGCGGGGTTTGGATCCGGTGGCTCCTTTCCCGCATGTCATTCCCCACTCTCTCTCCCTGATTTCCGACTCTGTCCACTGTCCTATCTCTCCATTAAAGGCACAAAAGCCCAAAAAAAATAACGTAAAAGGAAATAGTACCGGATATAAAAATGTGACAGGGAACAGTTCACTGCCTTAATAGAGATAATCCTCAGAGATTATTTAGATTTAATTCTTCTCATCAGCAGTATCTTTATCTGCACCAGATTACATTTCTTCTAGGCTAAACATCTTGAAAGAAACAGATGAATGTGAGGTTTGAAATCAGCTGTTTACAAGTCTGGTACTCCTCTGGGTTATTTTTTTTATTTTTTTTAAGATTTATTTTTGGGCTTTTTGTGCCTTTAATGGAGAGCTAGGACAGTGGATATAGTAGGAAATCAGGGAGAGAGAGTGGAGAATGACATGCGGGAAAGGAGCCACAGGTAGGATGCAAACCCAGGCTACCTGCCTGAGACGACAGCCTCAATACATGGGGCGTGCGCTCTAACCACTGCGCCACCAGCGCCCCTCTGCTCTAGGTTATTTATGTTCTACTTCACTGTATCTGTTAAATTCATTGTGCTAAACCTGTAAAGGCTCCGTACACCCACACAGGTGTTGGTGATTTAGATCATGATTGGATGTCTTTTTAGGATTATGTGGTGGTGGACAAGTTTGTTGGACTGACAGCTACATTTCCTTGTTATATTGAAGAAACCTTTTGAGAAGGAGAACTTGTTTACCTGTGATCATACTTGATGCTGCTTGGATTTGATTACATTATTATCGCCAAAGCTCAACCTATTAACAACCGGAACTGGTCCAATCAGCCAGCATAATTAAAAACACCTACAGTATGTGGATGTACAGAGGCTTTTAAAGACCCAGTGATGCTTTTTTAATTGACTTTTGTGCTAGTAATGGATTGGCTGTAATGAATACCATGCTTGGGCTCAAGGTGATTCATCAGAGCACCTTATAGAACACAGATTGATGATTGACTTTGTTGCTTCATCATTACATCTTCATTTTGACTTGGACACCTGGATAAAGAAAATGAAAACTGTCCATTGATCATCACCTAGTGGTAAACCTTATGTATTTTAAGGGTGAACTGGTTAAATTTGGTGGAAGCCCCTTCCATGAGGTCACCATCCATCAGAGTAAATTCCTGCTCAGAGGATAAGGTTATTGAATCAGAGTTGCCCATGTTCATAGCCTCCATTGTCAAACCAGTTAAGAAATTTCGCCAAAGCTGCCTGTTTATCCAGCAAACCCAAGGGACAGTCAGTGGACACCAGCAGTGAAGGAAGCGGGAAGGCTTTTGGAGCTTGTTTAGCTTTTGAGGTCCCAAGAAGCAGCGGACAGGTACAGGGGGGCTAGAAGGGCTGTTGCTTGTTTGATTGACAAAGCATAAATGTGACTGTGGGAGGAATTCAGGGAGGCTATGAAGAAGAGCTTTTTGTTGGCCTCCTGCTATGGGAGCTTCTGCTCTGAGCCATCTGTTCCCTGTATGGCCAGAGTGATAGCTGGTTCCATATCCTGGGTTAAATACATTCCCTTCTAGTGCTGGCCACAGCCAAAGGTGCCCCATGTCACTTATTCTGTTTGTGATTCTCATGAACAAGAACTCAATCAGCAGCTGGTGGAAAAGGGGTTGTTGTAGACCTTAGAAATGCTGTGAGCTTTTGCAAATGATCTGGATCTATGAGCTGTCCCAATCCAGGCTACTGGAGCAGTTTAGAACAGAGTTCAGTTGGAATGAGGGTCAGCTTCTACAAAGTCTGAGGTCATGGTTCCCAGCCAAAGATGGTGGAATGCTCCCTTTGGTTTGGGAATGAATTACTGCCCCTGGTGAAGGAGTTCATGTAATCGCTAAGGTCTTCATCACAAGTGAGGGTAAAACCAATCATAAGACTGACAGAGGACTTGGAGCAGCGTCAGCATCAAACGAGGGAATTGTACTGGAGAGCTGTGGTGAAGGAGCTCTGGGTACTGACCACACTAAAGAGATTAGGTACACAAGTGGATGAAATCAGATTTCTACCAAGAACGGCTGGGAGACAGGTTAAGGACCTAAAACATCCAGTTGTAGTTCGGAGGTGAGCTGCTTTTCACAGCATTGTTTTATAAATTACATTTAAGGTGGTTTGGGCATTTGATTAGGATGACTTCATTTGAAGGTTTGCCGTGCATATCCAACCTGGAGGAGACTCCAGGGTAAAGTGGTGACAACTGAGGGGATTGTAATGTCCACCTGGCATGGGACCATCTCAGAATCCCCCTGGATGAGCTACAAAATGTTGCTGGGTAGAGGGATGTCTGGGCTAACTTGCTTAGCCAGCTGCCACTCTGAATCGCCCCTTCATAAGGACAAAATGGATGGATGATTTCTAAAGCATTCCTCCTTACTCCACCTTCGATGTAGAACAACCACTGTGAAATGACTATCAGAAACACGACTTCAAATTTGCTTCGTCTTTTAATAATTACTGTCAGGCAAACCCCATATGACCATAACATTTATGACAGGTATTCTTACAGTACAAGACAGAACTCAAGAGGATCAGTGGCAGTGGCATGACCACACCGTACTGCTAAAAAGTAAGACATTCATCGTCATTAGATTGTTCCAACTTTTACATAGAGTTCACAAATGTTTATTTTGCATTTGACTCGTATCAAACACAAGTTTTTTTTTTTACTTGATTACCTAGCAAATTCTAAAGACCTTAATAGAAACGGCAGAGTAGAAAAAAAACAAAACATTGTATAACAAGCAGAAGAATTCCTGATTTTATCTTAAATTCCTGTCAAGATGCAAGATGTTCAATATATTGCTTTCAGGTGCTCAACTCAAAATGGGTACCCCTACTTTCCTAAGAACACATTCCTCAGTATGGCCATCTGCCCATTGTCTTTTTTCCATCTCCTGCAGGTAACACACAGGTGCGGCAGTGTATTCGACCCTCTCAGACTAGTTTAACCACAGGGGGAGCTGCCAGTTAAAGAAGATACAGGAACTAAGAAAAAATAAAACAATCACAAATATAGGACCAACCGTAATAGCCCCTCCTCAAAAGTGCAGCTTTCCATCTAACGTTTTGCCTCTTCTTTTAATGAAAGTGAAACATACAGTGCCTAAAAAACAAACTAAACAATGAAAAACTATTCTTGTTCACTGAGAGCGGAGGACACAGTATCCTGTCAGAGTATTACATTTGAGGAGAGGGAGACATACAAATGTTTCCCCAAGTGACATGAAAAGGTTAAAAAGGTGCTAACACAGTGTCTTCATTCATCCCAATGACAAGATTCACATAGTAGCCATTTTCCTCTAACACCAAGCTCATGATGGGAAGCTCAAATTCAGAATATGATATACTCCCGTGTACCATAAGGAGGAAAGACGAGAAATCAGAATAACAAGGATGTATATCAGGCCATTTTTATGACCCATAAGCTACTGTGTATGAGCTTATTTTAGCATTCAGCCACAAACTAGCTTAGATGATTGTTTGCTAAGAGTAGGCTGAATTCTACTGCCCTTTTTTATTCTGTATTATATGATATGGTATGAAAGGGGAAGTCAAAACAAGACTTCACTTTGTGAAATTAACACATTTGATAACCCATTAGCTACAAGGAAAACTGTTCATGAAATCATTAAAAATCATACTTGTTATTATAAGTAAGGCATTTGGGCCTGTCCTATAGGTTCAACATTATCAAAAGGTAATGCTAGCATGATTGAGCCATTTCTCCACTATGGTAATAAAATCTAGCATTGCGTTCAATGTTAATGGAGTCTCAAATATGGGCGATGTCCGTCCAGATCATGCTGCATCAGGACATGGTGAAATGTTACATTTTAAAACGTACAACCTAGAGACACTGTGAGGTGTTTGGACATCTAAACCCTGAGTGTGTTGTCAGAGGGAAATGGCAACTGTGTGAATTTGGGGAATTCAAGTTAAAGGTCCCATGTTATGCTTTTTCTGGTTTTATAATGCTCTTCAGTGTATTTTCCATGTGTCCTGTGCATGTTTAGACACATCTATTTGCAAAAATTCAAAGTCCACGGAAACGCGGCTTCTCCAACGTCCTCCTGTTAGCTGCAGCATTAGCTGCATGTAACGCTCGGTTCTAGCCCCCCTCAAAAAGAATTGCCAGTGTGACGTCTTGTCAGTGTGATATCACTGATCTAAGCCCATTGGCTCGTTGTGGCAAGCCCAGCAGCTCATGTTGCACGGCCATTAACTTCTGTAGCACGCCCACGATGTGCGGTAGTACAGTAGTGCTAAGGTGCTAATGTTTTTGCTCTGCTCGGAGCCAAAGTGGCTGCATTCCCAATATGGTAAAAGGGGCGTGACATTTCCGAGAACCGTGCTGAGCGACTGACCAATTACGGCAGAGCCGACAGGCCGACCAATCAGATCAGACTTGGTACACGTGGGGACTCTGAACGTGGGCACTTCAGAGCCTTAGAGAGAGACTCAGAAGCGAGCCGGTGCATGGAGTGGCAGTACATGAAAACAGACACTTTTTTAGAACTTTAGCTATTGTGAACATTAGTTCTATGTACCTTAGTAGGTACATAGATTAAATATACGAACCCCAAAAAGGGCATAATATGACCTCTTTATACTACACAATGATGTTAATGACGTACCATAAAATCTGGAATATAAGTCGCACCCATCTACAAGACACAGTCTGGTGGACTCCCAGTGGAAAGAGGGAAGGGAAACGGTCTTCCTGCGTGATAATTTCAATTGGTGCTCAGTAAAGTTCAAAATGTGCAGTTTCTCTGTAGCTCTTCCGCTCTTTTTGGTACCCATCTATTTTCCTCGTGGTGTTTGCAATCCGGCTACCTACCGATAAGGTAGTTAAGCTTTCGGCCAACGAAAACAATAACAGATTAGTATGAAACCCACTCCACTCAAACAATTGGCCAAATAGAGTCGTACTACCCATCTTGGCTGGTAACTTTTTGTTTGAATTGATGAGTCTTTCCAATCAAACCAGCACTTCAAAAAGGTTTACTCAACAGCATACCACCTTATCATGCAATGCATGTCTATGACCTAATGAAAGGAGAAACGCTGTGAGAAGCCCCCAGCATGGTCGGCGTCCCGATGTATCCCAGTGAGATTTGTGCAGTGAAGCTCATCAATCATGTAAGGTTGCATTCAGGTGTGTTGATGGCAGCTGCACTTGTGGTCATGACGGTTTATGACTCAGCACTTCAAACTGGTTTAACCAACCAATAAATATACAGCATATTGGTTGAACTGGTATAAAAGACACAGCCTACTTTTCATTTTTTAAAGTGCTTCTTATACACAGACTTTTATGGTACTTTTTATCATATGTAGTGAGCATTGGCATCGAATGTGCTGAATTACAGTTAAAAATCCAAAATCTGTGTTGCCTTCAAATGTTTGAAACAAAATGCTGTCTCAGGAAAGGCCCTGGTTAGTTCCAGACTCAACAGACATGAGCCTGGTTTTAAAAAATGAAGAAACACGGACACACAACTCGGTGATAAGCAGGAGAGAGAAAGACCTGCTCCCTAAGTCTTCAGGCTGTTAACCAATATGCTGGTACCAAAGGCTGAGGGGCCTGTGGTCTCATTAATGAAATGGTTTTTGTGTGTTTAAAGATAAAAATAAAATCTAAAAGATGTTCAGCAGAATACTTTAGTTCAAATCACCAATTTGTCCTTGGCAACAATACAGTATACCATCGTCTGCTCAAATTCTCACCTTGCCTCATAATCGAGGCTGTCTTACTGCCCTCTTTTCCATCTTTTATAGGAAGTCTTTTTATAAGTGATTATTTCTATAACTTCTGGGAAAACATCAGAGAACATTTTCATAAATGCAGCTATTGGCTGCCGCATACAGGTGGACATCACAGTGAGCGGTACCTAGGCCGACCTCTGGGTGTAGAAGAGAATATATGCCTGAGTGTTACACACTTCCTCCACACTGCAAACCTTCATGTCAGAGTCGTTACAGTGGACCCAGAAACCTGAAGAGGGGGGGGGGGGGGGAAAGGTTAAATATGCAGCAGGAGAATCATATGTTGACCTACATGAAGTATGCTCTCTTCCTCACCTCCTTCTGTGTTATAGCAGTATGCAGTGTAGTGCCCTGAGCCGAAGCCTTTCCCATGATGCATAACTACAGCAGATAGATCGTAGGTGTAGCCTCCTCTGTGGACAGAGTGATCTGAGCCCGTGCAGCAGTATGGTTTGATGTTCAGAACTTGGTCGAAGGCCACATGTACGCCGATTTTCTCCCTATGGTTCCGCCCAGACCATCTGTCATACAACAGAGACATTTAAGCATCACATGCACCCAGATAAAAACAAGCACTCTTGTACTTGGATTTTATTTAGGGAAAAAACAACTGAATTTGTTATACAATTTGAATTTTTTCAATGAAAAGTGAAAGTAAGACTGTAAAGGAACTTGCCTGAAGCGTTTGAGGTGCAGCCGTAAAACCTGAGGTAAACGGTAGATCAGAAGCTGTTTACGTGCCTCTGACAGAGCTAAGGGTTTGTGGGAGGATTTCCGTCTTCTTTCTGTCAAACCAGGGAACAATAAGATGTAACGTTATTCTCCCACGTCTATCAAAGGCATATCACTGTTTTGTGAGGTTTTGTTGAATGCAGAGGCAACACTGTGTTGTGTAAAGGCTTTACTATCAGATAAACATTTATTGGTCTGTCTAAAAAAAGAAAGGCTGCCAGGACATTCTTATGTCACTCCTCTGGAGGCTGACAATAGTGGGCTTAAATCCCAACACCAATAATGAAGTGTCCTCACTCTCTGCGTAGTCACTTAGAGAGGACAAGTGTTGGCCCAGTGCTAGAGGGGCAGCCTCTCAGGCAAAGCACATTCAGATTGTTTTACCTCAAAAACACCTTCATGTCAGATTTAAAATAAATCCTTTTCAATTTCAACATGCACCTTAAAGCCTCTTTTGTTGATTTGTTCAGTTAAGCCATTCAGACATTTTTTAAAGATTTTTTTTCTGTTCTGAAAGACCCGATGTCCTTTTCATATGGAACTACATTAGTACAAATATGTGGAACGCAGCAAAGTCAAATGTCACAGAAGGTTTTTTTTTTACTGGTCTCAAAGTATTGATAGAATCATATTTCAACTCAACTCAAGCTGTCCAGGGTGATTTATAACAGATCAAAAAAATGGAAGTGTCTTTTTCTGAAAGGGATGAATAAAAAACTGTACGCACTGTTGCAGTGGTTGCAGGCGTAGATTCTGCCTTCAAGAGCCTCCATCTCTGTAAACTTGGACAGCATCTCAGTGAGGGTGCAGCTGCGTTGGTAAGCTGTGGAGCCTGAGCTTTTGTCTATACTGTGGTATCGCTCTGGAAACTCCAAAGATAAATCCCAGAATGGCTCGACGGTGTTTGACTTGTGCTTACAGGACAGACATGTAACCTAAAAAACACAAGAGACACAGGTGAAAAAAAAGCAAGGGGAGAATTAGAGGGTCTATGAACTATAGGGTGAGTGCTCAAATCCGGGCTCAAGCACGGTACACTTCCTTGGCCCTGGCACGCTTGGAAGAGGTGTGCTTCGGTATGGGACAACTGGGCCTAGTGAGAGTGTGCCCCGAGACAGTTCCAGCTCCTGCTCACAGACTGTAAGTTTGCGCGCACAGTTTAGGAAACCGTCCCCACAAACTTGAGGTTTGTGCGCAAACTGTGCATAGATTTGCAAACAGCTTCTTTTTTCTTTTTTTAAACTGAGTGTTTGGGGGTTCTGTGTAACACAACAAAACTTTCAACTCCATTTTCACAACAGGTAGGCTTGTTATCAAGTTGCGGCAAAACCAAGAGAGCGCAGCATCACATCAGCAGAAAGAGAGAGAGAGAGATCCACTGTGATGAATAAATAAATAAATGATAAATCAAATCTTATGTCATTGTGGTAACAAAGCTAGTACTAACTATACAAGCTATCAAAACAACATCAAAGTGTATACCTCAGTTATGAACAGTACTGGCACCATTATTTTGGATCAGTGAAAACCTTTTTTAGATTGACACTTTTAGACCAATATGGATAAAAAGAAAAACAAAGATGTTTGATTGAATGCTGCTAGCCGCTTAAGGATTTGTGTTTCATATGATTCCCTTAATACAGATAATGTATGTCTGCTGTACGTCTTCTGCTCTACTCTGCTAGTGCTTGACCAGCACCACAGGAGCTTTGCTTGCCGACTGAACTATCAGTCAAGGAATTTCATACCTTTTTTAATAGAATTAAATACCTAATTTAAAAGATATATCTCAGAAAAGAAGACGACTTGAACACAACAAATAACTATAATGAAGAGACCAGGTTTGAGAAAAATGTGATGTGCATTATAATTTTGTAGTTTCTCCGATGTCTCCTCTGTTAAAATGAGGGAGCTGGGTTTATGGCCTACGCTTCAGCCAATAAGCAGTCAGCTGTCCATACTGTATACAGTCTATGATCTGGACTCTATGACGACCCAAGCTGCAGCTTCTTTTAGCTCACCTTTCAAATCTGATGACTGAGATCATTCAAGTTACTGAAATGCGTCTTGAAACAGTCGTTCAACAAAAAAGCGTTTTACTGTCTGGGAAGTCACCTCAAAACTGTAGCTTGACTGTCGTGTGTAAAAAATGTCCCCAAAGTTTTCATTGTTACCATCAATTTTGATTTTATGATGAAATGCAATTGTTTAAATTCCCAGCCCTTACACAAATATAAAACAACATTCTGTGTAAGAGAAAGTATTTAATTATGTACAAATGCAAATGCAATTAAATATTGAATAGATTGAATATTGTCATATAGGGAAGGAGAATGAATAATCAGTATCCATTCAGAGCTATATACCTGTGGAATATGTAAATGAAATGACACGAGTACAGAAGGCTACAGAAATAAAGTCTCTACATAGTGAAAAAAAATATTAGACGGACAATCTATCAATGTTTAAATATAAAGGCAGGTTTGGAAAAGACATGTCTGTGGTGATAGAATAAGCCAGAACGGATCACTTCAGGCAGCCAGGTTTCTATCGTCATATCAACATTCCTTATCAAAATGACGCATTATCAATTCACGTTAAGTACTGCCAAGTTCTGTCTGTTAAACATGGCATAATCGGATCATTTGTTCCCACCAGGTGATCTCACTATACATGTTTCTTTCAGCGTGTATCAGCTGTGTTGACCGTCTTACCTGGCTGAGTAGCTGCCCGTGAAAGATGGTGTTCAGAACCTTTAGCACCTGCTTGGAAAGTTTCCTCTTTGTGATGGGGATAACTATCCTCCGCTTGGACCCCTCTGTGTCCAGCTCCTGCTGCACCTTGTCCAGCAGTTCACACAAGAACTCCTGGGCGTCCTGCTGGTCGTAGCCACGAAAGGCCGGGATGAGGTTCCACACGGAGTGCAGCATGGCGAAGGGGGACACTAAAGACCAGCGGCCTGACCACATGACCCTGAAAAGTGTGTGTAATTCATGGCACAGAGACATCTGCTGGCGGGTGGAGCAACGGGGCTCCTTTGGCTGGACCAACTCTGCAGCCTGTGTGGGAGGAGGGTCACTTTCTTTTTTGGGGGGTAAGTTCCAACTGCCCGCCTTCCCCATGCGTCCAAGAGGGCATCCTGCCAGTGACGTGTTCCCACTGTTCACTACACCACCCGTCATCCCCTGCTGGGAGTGGTTGGTCTTGGCCAGTAACTCCTCAGTCTCACACAGGTCCAAAGTGAGAAAACACTCCCTGAATTTCTGCAGGTGGCTAAGCACTTGCAATATTGAGTTCATGTAGCACGTGTTTCCCAAGTTGCGCAGACCGGTAACACCTGGAGCAAGTCTCCGGCGAGTTACCGTGTGTGCGGAGTAGTATCTCCTCAGTTTAGCAGCTCTGCCATTCTGAGGAGCCTTACGGGACAGGGGGAGGAGGGAAGGCTTCTTGGGTGGAGAAGGAGGTAGGCGTTCTGGAGGGTCGCGAAATTTGCGAGGAATGAGTGTGATGGTTGAGCGTGGAGCCTGAGTAAGAAGCCGAGCGCTCTTTCTGGGTGGAACATTGCCGAGCTCTTCCATGAGTCTCCTCTTTACCTCTTTTTTCTGTCTTCTGGCTTCCTCAAGTTTCTCCTTACGCTGGTTCTGCAGCTCCTGATGTTTGCTGATCCACACCTGGAGCATCTTCCCGAGAAGTGCTTTCCTCCTGTGACGGAGAGCCAGCTGCATGGCAGGCTGTGGCCCACCTTCCCCCACCCACGGGGTGCATTCCCCCCCAGCGGAGGAGCGTAGTGAGCGTCTACCCGGGCTGCGGACAGTTGAGAGTGCTCCTCTGAGGAGTTTGAGGTCACCCTCCACATTGTCATTGAGTACATAGTCTCCACAGGCGAAACAGAAGACATCCAGTTCACGCACTTCCATAGCCAGAGGGTGGTGCGACTCCTCAAAGTGTTTCAGCGAGTGCTCCTCCATGAAACGACCACAGGCCACGTGGGAGCACTTGAGGCAGGCCCAAACTGAATCGGTGGTGCTGCAGTCAACACAGTGCCATTTTTGTGGATTGAGGATAGAATGGTCCTGGCCCAGACGAAGGCGTCCCACGTGTTTACAACGATCCATCTCTCCAGATACACATGTGGCCTCAGTGATAGGACACACGTCCTGTAAGCAAGCAGGAACTCATTCTGATGGGACATTTAAATGGAAAAAACAGAGGGTAAGGTCAAACCAGTAAAAAAGACGGGAAACACTATTTACATTAATTGTATAGTGTACAATATAACAAATGCCCTTTTTTAAAATCAGAAAACAGATCTTGTCACATGTTTTTACTTACTGCAAAAGTAGTTTGCTTGATCAGGTTTGTGATAATACATCATGATCCCAAAGCACACTCAACAGCAGGATCCAGCTACATCACCCACGTCTAATGTCACCATCGGCACCAACAGGAACTCTGAGGGACAAATGAAGTCAAGTGAGACCGAGAGCACTCCAAACCTCCTTTTGACTTGGATAAGGAAAGCATAATATATGATATGTGTCAAAGCCAATTGATCAGGAGGAGTCTCGAGGCAAACACTCATCATACAATACCTCTTCTTTTATTTCCCCCCTCCACTTTTAGAAGGCTTGGGTATTGTAGTTCTGTAATGCCCATTGAAACACTGTATACAGTACTGTGCTATACAAAATAAATGGTACACTTAATTGGATATTAATCTAGATTAAAAACAAAATGCAATACATCAGTAATGATGGGCTGGTAAAATCAAACGGTGCCATCTCAATGAAACATAATGCATGGTGCTGAAGACATAGTTAAAAAGTCTTAAAAGTGCTAAAAGTCTGCAGGCAGAAATGTGAGATGAAGGAGAAGCCTGTGGTTCATTCATGATATGTGCTATGCTCCTTTCCTCTTGCTCTCTGTTTAAACCCACAACTACTTTTCAAAACTAAAAATGCAAACGAAAGAATGAAAACATTTTACTTGCAAATCGCTGCAACTAGTTTGTAGTAAGTTGCATTGACAAATCGTTGCCGTAATATTGAGCTATTGAAAGTAATGATGGTTCAAACAAACGTTAAATCCAATCTTTGTTAGTACATGTCTAAAACCCTGCTGTCTAGATCACACTGGCTGGTTCTAAACGCAATGCTAAGCTACCCCATCAACACCATGTTCAGTCAGAACAAAGGACAGCCACTCTGCAGGAACATCCAACAACTTTGTTGGTGTGAGGCAGCCAACCACTAAGTTAGCTAACACGGCTAACAGCTAGCTACAGCAGCTCCGCTGAGGGTTAGCGCTGCTTAGCATTCTGACACCGACACATTTTGTTCAACACATATGACTTGCTTTGCACCAGTAAGCTAACATTAATGTTAACAGCTTGCCACCGTAGCTAGCTTTAGCTACGAGGCTAACGCGTTTTGCTGAGGACAATCGAAGTTAACATAGCGGCTGTTGTTGTGTCGCTAACACTAACTAATAACCGAGCTGCGGGGTTAACCATTAAAACACTCCCCGGTGACTTTCCTCAAAGAAAGCCGGTGTGTGCACATTAACCCCGGGCCTGATCTGTAACATCTGATAATGGAAGAGCTGGGTAACGTTACCATCAGAGCTGGTTGTTGTCCTCATCACAGATTGAACAACCCAGCTCCCGATCCGAGTCCAGACCCTGCCGCTCTCATTGGACCGGGACTGAGCGGCAGCCGGGCTCTCATTGGCGGATTGGCTGAACAACAGGCAGCACGGTGGACCGTCCGTCCGTCCGTCCACCCACCGAGCCACATGGAACAATAACCAACCGAGGCTAAACTGCAAGCCGGGAGAACAGGACGTCTGTCCCCTAAGCGCCTGACCCTGGTGTCCCAGAAAGCCCCGTGTCTGCCCGGCGTCAGCTGGTTTGTGGTAATCTCATGAAATGCATTTGGGGGATGAAGGTTTTAAACACAGTGTTTAAACTGAATCCGGTGTAGAAGCTACCATGTGGCAGGGACTTAAAATCAAGACTTGAGGCTTATAATGATTTTGATTTGATGCACATGTTGAATTTACAAATTATCCCTGCACTAATGTTCACTTCATTTGTCTGTCTACTCGCCGTTATATTGTATAGTTTCTGCTTATAATATGTCTACACTCATGCATTTTAACTTATGTCAATACTGTCCATTTTCTACTCTGTTTTTGCACATTTAAATTTAATCTTTCATATTTAATTTACAACCATTTACGACTCTGTTTTTGCACATTTACATTTAATCTTCCATATTTAATCTTCCTATTTAAGACTAGTAATGCTTAGTTAAATCCTGGTTGTATATATTCACATTCTTAGTTTTGATATTTTCAGTGCTTATTTACTTTGTATTTAATATTATATTGTGTTTAGATTTGCTAATATTGTGTTTTTTGCTAATATTGTGTGTTTGGACAACCTGCTGCTGTAACGCCACAATTTCCCAGTTTGGGATCAATAAAGTAATTCTATTCTATTCAATTGAACACAGGGTAAAAACCACAGTGCTTATCCAGCAAAAGGCTGCTTTCTGTACAGCCATGCACTGAGAATGGAGATTACAACCACCTTTCCCCCCATTTTCTGTTTTATAGTTTTTGAAGTGACATATTTGAATACCTCTTGCTGATAACTTGGTGAAGTTGAAACACATTTTGGAAAATGTCAGTCCGATGATTCAGTATGGAAGTACTTTCCCGTACCTTCTTGTCTGCAAATCCTTTCAAACTTTGTCCCGATAAACAAGAATGCTGATAACTTTCTTCGGTGGAGGTATCACTGACTTTAAAATAAACCCAGTTCAATGTAAAGTTCTACAACTATTATTTATTGATGTATAAATTGGGGCTACTGATGGCACTCCTTATAAGACCTGTCAGGAGGGTTAACACAGATGTGGCAAAATTGGCTTCCTAATGGCTTCCTTGTCATCCTTTTTCTTACTGAAGACTTACTGACATATTGGAAAACCACAGCTGTAAATAATACATTGAGGTATGGCTGACTTAATTCCATTAAGCTGTTGTCATGTTTACTGGGAACAGTGAATGAACCAGACCATCCTTATATTGTTAACATGTGTTCTTTTCCTTCTTAGATAAGTACAAACATATTTTGTGGTATTGTTCCTGCTGAATACTGGTGTGGCTTCAATCAACTAAGATTGAACAAAGACCTGATTTTTGTCACTAATTTTTTATTGCTGAGTCCAGAAACCGAAAGCTCAAACTTTTAAAACCCTCTACTTTATCAAGCACATGAGGGAACTGACGTCCACAAAGGAACAGAGACATCCTTGTGGATCCTCCAGTTCAAAACTGTATAATCTGATTTACCATTAGCTACCAGTACCACCACCCATAGCTAGGAATCTAATAAGAAAAACCAAGAGAAAACTATGGAGTAGTGCAAATTCACCTCAAATATGTGCTCTGCATTAACTCTAGAAAGTGTTTCAACAACCACAAAAAGGAGAATGCACTTAGTTAAATATTATTTAACTGAGGGGAAAAACACATTCCAGCTACTCCAGTTGATCTCTTTAATGTAAGTTACCAGAAATACAAAAAAAAAAAAGGAATTCTGTTCCCATGCTGCTCCATGGGGAAAACATTTATTACAACATCAACACAAACGTAAAAAAAAATAGATTACTTAATTGCTACAAACAAGTCAACGCACATTACTTCCTTGGATTTGCATTTTACGCAGCTTGTTGAACAGCTCCAGGTACTGCGTCATGGTGTCAACACAGTCTGCTGGTGCAAAGAGCCCTTCAGGTTTGGCAGCAAACACAGACGGCAGTTCAGGGACACTGGAGCCAAGAAAGGATGCCATGAACTCCCTTATTAAATTCCAGCAGTCCCCAGGAACCACGCAGGGACAGTACTCCACCTGAGGGAACACACAGAGTTAAAGCACTTTTCAAATTCAAATAACTTTACTTATCCGTTAGGAACTTCATTTGTGTAAAAGAGCATCAGTGCGCATACAGCTAGACACAAAAACAACAACAGAAACACACACATACAAGTGGCTCTAATAAAAACATGACAAATAGGTCTTAAATAATTGTTATAAGCGGTTAAATGAATGGTGTTAAAAATAAATAAGAAATAGATCATTTGTTCATGAGCCTGATAGATGTGGGAGCTGTTGATATTATTCATTTCACTGCTTACCTCTACTGATATCCCTCTGGCACTGGAGCTCATCGTCACCGTACCAACTTTAATCAGGAAGTCACAGTAGCGATATCTAGAACCACGACACTCCACCTTGTGCCCCTTGGCGTTTTGGAAGTGACTCTTTAGTTTCACCATCAGAACATCGAAGTTTGCATCAGCTATCACACAGGGTCCACCTTCGAACAGAGCCATGCAGCTCAGGGGAGTTTCAGAGTTGTGCATCACGTACAGGAGCTTGGTGGGCTGACCTGGAATAGAAACACAAGACTGATTATCACAGGTGTCAAGTGAATATGTTTAATCATTCAAGTGATGCATCATTTGGAAGTTTAAAAAAAAAAAAATCTACAAATAGTATTTTGTTCTATTGTATATTTTTAAAGACAGAACCATTAGATTCTGAGTAAGCCGTAGTCCGTGTAGTAAGTGGTTGCACACAGGATAAGGTCTTCCATTAAAAAATACAACAATGATAATGATTCTAATTAGCCAGAATAGAATAGAGTAGATGTTTATTTCCATTTGCACAGGTACAGGACAGTACAGGTACATTGGAATTTTTGTGCGTTTCTCCCTGAGTCAGCTTCTACAAAAAAAGTTAAAATTATATATAAAATAGAATTATAAGAAAAAAAGAGTAGAAAAGTACAAATAAAATAAATAAGCTGTAGTAACAGCTAAGTAAATTAAAATAAACTGTACAGAAGTTATACACTGTAGAAAGATATAATACAAAAAATAACAAAGGGGAACACTGTACAATGAAATGAAAATATAAATGTTTTCTTGTCTCTTATTGCACACATATTTCTCACATCATATGTTTCTCATAACAAATTAGGAGCATCAAACAGGCCAGACTGGTGTTGCCATGGTGCTTTCAGACGCCATCTCCCAGTTTGTGCAGGCAGAAAATCAGGACAAAAGCCCTCAGGGAATCAGCTCTTCCCTCAGCTCTCACAACCAAGATTTTTCAAAAATGCCAGAAAACTATCTGAAATTGGTTGCACAGCACTTAATCGGGCTGAAATTATACATTGTATGCCCGGCTTCAAACGTTCAAGGAAAGGCTCGTCATAAACAACAGTTTAAATCACTTACCTGGGATTTCCAATTCAAGTGTATGTCAATCAAACCAAATTAACATTTTGATAGCTTTTATCTACTAACTTGAACTATATAACCCTGTATTTTGTAGTACTTTTAAAAGCCACAAAGTAGTGTTATATCAAGACCACACTAACCGAAACCAAGACATAGCCGAGACAAGAGCGCTCAGAGACCGAGACATTTGGGGATCGAGACATTTGGGGATCGAGACAGGGTGAGACCAAGACAAGGCCATATCAACGAAAAATCATCATTTTGTGTGTGTCACTCACTTAGACCGTAAAACACAAGGAAGGTTGTGGCCTTTCCTGGGAGACAAACATCTAATTATGAATGAATTGAAGTTATCTGTCTTTCAGAAAGGGCAGTTTTCCTTCTTATTTCAGTAATGAAGAGGACAATTTGCCTATCAGTGGTGGTCTTGATTTAAAATGGAGGGTCCACTCAGTCTGAGACTGAGACGAGACAGATTAAAAATGCTTCAGATTCCAAGATTTCAAAAAGTGGTCTCGAGACTGGTCATGAGACCGAGACTGATTTTGAGTGCTTACAACTCTCCCATAAGGTGACACTTTGAATGCTGTAGGGGAACCAGGCAACTAACTCAACTTTCAACAATAAGTTACTACAAAATAGGGATTTGATCCTATAAAGTCCATGTAAGGGGTCCCAACTGTTCTGGTACACCTTACCTTAGAGAGATGCAACTGTACGAAAAGATACCCCATCCTTTATTGTTCTTAGAGCCCTATTGATGAATAAAATGCTGAAATAAAAAGTATAGCATGAAATGTTACCGCTGACATTTCCTGTTGCATGGTAGGTCTCACAGTCTACACAGAAGCTGCCCTGCTTCACAGCAGCCAGCTGTTCCAGCTTCTTATGGAGGATGTCCACTGTCTGCTGCACACTCTTCCCCTCTGCCACAGGCACCTGGCACACACTGCAGGACAACAAAGAGCATACTAGAGAACGCATTGTAATGTGTTGGAGACATATGTTATATTGACAGTAATAAAAACTGCTCCCTCCTATGCAGCGCATCGAGTAAATGAAACTAAGCGGTAAAGATCCTATATGGTAACATGGTAACAAAAACGAGTACGTGGTGAATATATGGCTGAACGTGAATTAATGAACTGAATAAAATAATGTTACGTTTTAAAATAAACCTTGAGAAACAAATTATAAACTTACCAAGTGACACCCATCGATACTTAGCGTCCAATTGTTTCGTTCACTTTTGGTCGACTACTTCCGGGTCAGAAGTCTTCTTCCGGAAAATATTAAAAATGGTTTCTTAGGTTGTATATACATAAATATAAGGAAAAGATCACGATGAAGGGCATTTATGATGTATTAAAAAAACATAGTTTAGCAACGATGGCAGTTAAAAGTTTTTCTGGTTTTAAAGAAAGCAGTTGCGGCCCTACGTCACATTACGTCACTTCCCCTTGACATGGACGCCTGCACGTGTTGAGTAAATGACTGTTTACAGCAGAGACGGCTCAGGAGAAAAACTCTAGATAAACTATAGTTTACAGTACGTGTAATAAACTCAGTAAAAGCGACACTGAAGAACTGCTGCTGTGAAGAGAAGGTCTCTGCGATGCCCAAAGTGAAAAAGTGTAAAGGTGGAGGAGGAGAGAAGAGCGGGGGGTCGGTAGCTCTGGCTGACCAGATCCTACAGGCGGACACGGTGCGAGCTAGAGACCGTGTGAAGAGCAGGGACAGCCGGGCATTGAACGAAGACACGTACGTAGACGAGCGTCTTTCACGGAAGATCTTACAACAGGCCAGAATTCAACAAGAGGAGCTTCAGACGGAATATGGCCTGGCACCAGAGAAGAAGAAAACACCAGTCACAGTTCTTGGTAATGTTGGAGGTATGTATGTGCACTGCAACCACAGCAATGATACTTCTCTCAGTTTTCCATAACAAAAAAAAACAATTTAAATAGAATTTGGTGTGACAGTCACATACCGGTAATACTTTGTTGTAGGTGTCCATAAAAGCAAATAGTGTGAGTCATTTGTTTGAACTGTTTAATATTAGTTATCACTACTAGTAAATGACACTTTGATGTTTTACACAAAAGTTATGTTTGATCCAAGGAACTACGACGGAGGATTAGGGCCACGTTAAAGAATTATTATTATTTTTTTTTTAAATCGAGATTAAAAGTCGTAAATTGACGAGTTCGAGACCAGCCTGCGCGAAAATGATGAAAGCAGAAATCTTAAAGTCTTTAAAGAATAAAGTCGTTGTTTTAGTCTATATCAGAAGAGCAGCAGCATCCTGATCTCAAATGACAAACATGGAGCCTCTTGTCCTAAAGGTTTCACGAATAAGGAAATAGGCTACTTCCTTGTGTAGTCGGTAAAAACAGTTCAAGAGAAGTTTTCACTTCAACTTGCAAGACCTTGTTCATCTGTAAAATGATGAACAGGACACAAACTGTCTCTGCACATGAGACACTTTAACAAGGCAGACCGATAACAGACATAAATAGTTGTGTTGGGGCTTTACTTATGCAGATATGAAACTACACATGCTTTTGGCACATCATCATCTTCACATTGTCTTAAAATATCAGCACCCTGAAAAGATACTGCAAGAAACTGAAGAAAGAACCACACTGACTTGGAGGAGGTTGTCTGCAGAGGAAAGACTTTAAGAGTTCTACTTTCATTATTTTTGCGCAGGCTGGTCTCAAAGTCGTAAATTTACGACTTTAATCTTGAAATTAAAAAAAATAAATACAAATTTTACCGCGGCCCTAATCCTCCGTCATAAAGGAACAACCTTGACACATCAGACAATCTCTTAACATTTATATGTCGTATATGTAAAATTATTCATACAACATTTTTAGACACACAATTGACCACCTTTACCTTGTATTCAAACGTCAGGGTCTGATGCTCAGGATGCAGACTCAGATGAGGAGTGGCCCATGCTGGGAGCATCTGGTGCCGGTGGTGTTGAGTGTGACACCGAAGTTGTCGTCGACCCTGATGATGAAAAAGCGATGGAGACGTTCATGAACAAAAACCCTCCAATAAGGCAAGATGAGACACGATCTGCACTCTGTGTTTACACAGAAAACTGAAATGTCAGACACGTTTAATCTCTGCACCAAGTACAAGCTCAAATTCTACATAAAATGCTCAGTTGTTTTTCCTCTTCTTGTCCTTTTGTAGACGGACCTTAGCTGATATTATAATGGAGAAGATCACGGAGAAGCAGACAGAGGTGGGGACAGTCATGTCGGAAGTGTCAGGGTGTCCTATGCCCCAGCTGGACCCAAGGGTAGTAGAGGTGTACAAAGGTGTTGCTAAGGTGAGTTTTGAATTTTTATGTTTCTGTTAATATTGATATTTTCAATTTTTTATGTTTTTTTAAAGGGGTAATGCTTGGGTCTGAATGATACAAAGTGTACCAATATTAATCGGTTCAGTGTTACGTATCATTTTAGAACCTGATTTGAAATGTGAATATCTCCAAAAGAAATCTTCAACAGTTGGTGTCTTTTCTGCAGGTTCTGTCGAGATATCGCAGCGGTAAATTGCCAAAGGCTTTTAAAATAGTCCCAGCACTTTCAAACTGGGAGCAGGTTCTCTATCTGACTGAGCCTGAGACCTGGACTGCAGCCGCGATGTACCAAGCAACCAGGTGAGTCCCCAGGCTGTTGGGAAACAGCTTTAAACTGAGATAGTTATCAAGGCTACTGTAGGTACTCCAATGGTATAATAAGATGTTTTTTTGTTTGCTTGTTTCGTAGGATCTTCTCTTCCAATCTGAAAGAACGAATGGCCCAGCGGTTCTACAACTTGGTACTGCTGCCTCGAGTGCGGGATGATATTGCTGAGTACAAGCGCCTCAACTTTCACCTCTACAGTGCTCTAAAGAAGGCTTTGTTCAAGCCAGGAGCGTGGTTTAAAGGTGAGACAGAAAAACATCATCTAAATATTCTTTACAATGGTGTAAGAGTGAGAAGAGCTGTATTGTGAAACATACTGGACTTCAGCAGTGTTGTTGTCCAGGACTTAGACTGGACTCAAGCTCGGGCCCTGACTTTCTGTGCCGTCTTGTTTAGCAATAGTTGGTGTGTTGTGGTGATGAGCAGTTATCAGCTATATTACTGTGGAGTTGGCGTAGGAGGTCATAAAATGATAAATTCTGATTATTAGCCAATGGGTTGCAGGTATTTTTGAATCTTATTAGGCACCTGCAGTGAACACATCCCATCATTTAATTTAAATTCATTTGATGATAATTTGGCTCTGTGTTTTAACTTCATTACACCCTAGGTACAATATAAACATGAAGACTGACATAGTTTAGTTTATTTGCACATTTTTTGAAAGAAGAGTCAAACAGAAAATTAAAACTAATAAAAAATTAAACACGTGCAGGTGAGGTAGAAACCCATGAGGGCTTATCTCAAAACCTCACCTTGAAGAGATTAAACAAAGTTAAAATACAATACAGTAAAAATAACAAAGTAAATATTTACTATCACAAATAAATTTACCCAACTGAAAATGACATACAAACATTGAAAACATAAAAATATTAGTAGAGAGTTTTGACCAGAGAAGGTTGGTGGTTTTAAGGTCAGAGTTACATATTACTCCTCAAAGTATCACATTAACTAAACCTTATGATTGGTCATACTATAGCTTGTTCTTCCTTTACACAATGCCAGTACCAGTGTAAGACATGTGTCCATGCTTCACCATGTTGGTGATCTGCAGCTAACAATGCTCCTTTCATGCTAGATCAGGAAAATTTTGGTTGATTATACAGGTCATGTGACTGCTTAGCATGACGGCTTTTATCTAGTTAAGCAAGGTGCATTTTATTAACCTTGTTAAGAGGTTGAGAATCACTCACTTGAAAGTACATGCCTCAGGAGTAGGGATGTAAAGATTCGATTCAAAGGTGTCAAGATTCACATCTGTACTCTGAAAAATGAATCGCAATAATACTGTGAGCGTCAGCAGCTGTAGAGCAAGATTTTGAAATTGAGGACCGTCTTTTAAATCAGAGGTGTGGAAACATTTTGGCTTCACCAAGACAGAAAATGAAAGAGGTGAGTAGATAACAGACAAGAGAAAAACTGTGTGTAAATATTACAAGAAGATAGAGAACTACACAAATAACACAACCAACATGATGCAGCATTTAACGAGAAGCTCCAATCACGTCGACTTGTTGCAAGATAAACAAAATGAAAAGGCTAAACCACACTGAAAAGCGGGTGTGCAGCCCCTAAAGGAATCTTTTTCACTCATAATTTGTCCACAGTCTCATTTTGTAAAATAAATCGTGAGAGAATCATATCGTGAGTTGAGTGAATCGTTACATCCCTACTCAGGAATCATTTAATTTATTGTTGAATTTGTCATCAATGTTTAGTGTAACATAAAGCTTATGCAGGGCTTCATGGTGATGTAGTTGTTAGCGCTGTCGCCTCACAGCATAAAGGTTCCTCTGTCATATCCCAGTGGGGGCCTGTCTGTGGGGAATTGGCATGTTTTCCACATGCATGTACTCCCCCCCCATATTAATGAAAACATGCACGTCAAGTTCACTGGGGACTCTAGGTGTGATCATGAAGCTATTGAAACTTTAATAACTTATTGTTCCCCTTTTTAAAGATTTATTTTTGGGCCTTTATTAGAGAGACAGGACAGCGAACAGATTCAGATATTAGGGAGAGTGCGTAATAACATGCAGGAAAGGAGCCACAGGTCGGATTTGAACCTGGGTCACCCACCCCGAGGACAACAGCTTCTTTAGATGGGATGCCAGACCACTAGGCAAACGGCGCCCCTACCAGTTTAAATTCTACATTAACAACAAGCCTCCTGTGTGATGCTGTAGAAGCTGATGTATCTAAAAACGATCATATCTTAATGAGACTACTTTCCCTAAACATCCTATGATTTTGAATTTCTCAATAACCAGTATGAGACAACACCACCAGGTGGCAGTGTTGCTCACACATACACACTACTGTCTCACACACTGAATGATGAGAGTTTTTCAACTATTGAAGTTAAATATTTGATTAATGAAATTGATAAAGTGATGAGTCCCCTTTATGTCTTTCATTGAGATCCATGTTGAAATAGTGTGTTTATATTATTTATTTTCTATTATGATGTGTCAATAACACTGACTACCATCAGAGCAAACTAAGCATATGACAGAATTTTAATTAAGTATTTTATCAATCCTAGATATGAATTTTTGTTTTTCCACTCTGTTATTGAACACGATACACACAAATAGGCCAGGAATACACACTATTCAGTGTGATATAATGTTCATTGTAAATGTCAGAAGTCGTAGCCAATGTTTTTTTTTCCTGAATAAAAGACAAAAAAAATAAATCCAAATTTCTTTGTCAGTAAATGAACCAAATTTACTGTAAATTCAATCAAGTACCAGTTGGTACCTGTTCTTTTGAATCAGATAATCTTACTGTAACCAGAGTATATGTTGGTTTGCACCAGTCAAGTTTGTTATTGGAGTGGTTTACTTATCTGAAAGCAGGAAAATGAGTTTCATGAAGTTTTTGAAGTAAAATAATAACCACTTCCTGATTTAGTAGTAGAATCCTGGGCTTAAGGATGACTGCATTTTACAGATTTTTCTAAAAGATCCACTATCCTAATTGACTAATAATAATAATACAGGGGTATCTGAAAAAACAGCAAACACTCGTGCTCTGTATTAGTCAATTCTGATTTAAAGGCAGAATAAGTAGGATTTGTTGATCCCCTGTCTCAATGATACCAATGGCTCTGTCTTGGATGCTTGTTTAATATCTGGAAACTGCTCAATACATCTTTTCTTCTCACTCTGTGCGCTGTAATTTGCTGGCAGACACAAGCCCACTCTCTGAAGGTTGATGCCCAGAAATGTCCCCAAAAGATAAAAAAATTAGAAAACTTCAATAAACATTTCTAGAAATGAAGTGTCAGTTTTATAATGACCTCTTCTGCATTACTTGTGAACCCTTTCAGGCTGTAGGTAGTTCCTAACTGTTTTGTGCCTCTCTATAGGTATACTGATTCCTCTGTGTGAATCTGGGACGTGTACTCTCAGGGAAGCCATCATCATCGGAAGCATCCTCACAAAGTGCTCGATCCCTGTGCTCCACTCCAGGTGAGGTTTCCTTTCACTGACACACGTCAGCCTCTTATCAACCGGTGTAGGATTCAGCCTGTTGACCTTGAAAGCCGTATATTGTCTGGTATTGGCACCTTCCAGTAAGGTTGAGGTTGCATAACATCAATGGTTGTATAACATGCACAATCTCTCTCATCTTTCAGTGCTGCAATGCTGAAGTTGGCAGAGATGGAGTACAACGGCGCCAACAGCATTTTCCTTCGTCTAATGCTCGACAAGAAATACGCCCTGCCTTTCCGTGTCCTGGATGCCTTGGTGGCTCACTTCCTGTCCTTCCGCAGTGAAAAACGTGTACTTCCTGTGCTGTGGCATCAGAGTTTACTCACCATGGCTCAGCGCTACAAGGCTGACCTGGCCTCCGAACAGAAAACATCACTGCTCGAGCTTCTCAAGATACAAACGCACCCTCAGATCTCCGCAGAGATTCGCAGAGAACTGCAAAACTCAGAGTCGAGGGATATTGAAATTGGGCTCCCTGTAACAGTTAATATGGACTAAGATTTCAATCTGGTGTGTAGCATCCTTCTCCTGTGATGCAAATGATTCATGGTGTCTGCAGCACAAAGGACGGTTTGTTAAATCTAATGTAATAATTCTTCTTTTATTATGAAAGAACAGTTTCTCAATACAGAGTCTCAAGAGCCATTCTTCTCCTCCCAGCTTAGATGACCTGACTCGTGTAAAGATGCACATCAGAAGTGATGTAGGTGTTGTAATAAATCATCAATCTGAGCTGGTTAATTGGGGCTGTGGTGTAGTGATTGCTAGACACTATAAAGACTGGTATTGTCAGTGTTTATTATGTCTGAAGAATGAAGTTATGATGTGGATTAAACAAACCGGCATACATACTAAAAGGTTGAGTATGGATAATGTTATCTCTGTTCAAAAGTTAAGGATTTAGACCGTAAACAAGATGGATGGTTAAAGAAATTAAAAGCATTGATAAACAGTTTGATTAGTTCAACTATCACTTTACTTTACCTGACTTTGTCTTCAATTTTAAAACTGCATACCAAACAATCTGAAACAAATTCAGCAAACATACAAACATACATACTCTTCTTATAAATGTATTTATTCATTTGCAATAAAATAAATTACCAAGATTACTCAACAATAAATAAAAGTGATAAGCAAAGATTCTATAAAATATCAGAAACTAAGTTACCAGTCTAACTTTTTATAGAGCTCTCATTACAACATAACTTAAACTTACTCGGTCCTCTTCAAGAGAGAAGTACTCTGGCCTCCATGCTCACTTTTTCACCAGTTGAGATTGTTTCTGACAGAGCAGGATTGGTTTGGTTTTTCGTCAAAAAAACTAGTGCAGCCCTTGGTTTTATTTTGTCCGATAACTCTTTAAAACTATGAGGGACAAAAAATGACTAAAGTATAAATAAATAAATGTTGGGGGAATGCTTACAATAATGTATAAATAAATATATAATTAAATAAATGCATTAATAAATATATAAATAAATATATAATGCTGAAAACAATACATAAATGAATAAATAATAAATACATTTTGTTAATGAAAAAGGTTATTTATATATTTTTTACATGTATTTATTCATTTATTAACGTATTTCTACAATTATATCTGTATCAATGCATACATTTCCACATTAATTGAGTTATTAATTTATTTCCGTATTTTTATATTTACACATCTATTTATTTCTGTGTCCAGGTCGTAAGATGAAAAGTATATATGTAAATTTGCTTCTGTCTGTTTTTCAAAGTTGACCAATCCTACTTCAGTAATGTTAGGACGGCCCACTTAATTTACATATTTACTTTTCCTTGTACAACATGGACACAGAAATACATAAATAATAAATACATGAATATATTTATTCATATATTTATTGATGCATTTATTTAATTATGTATTTATTTATACATTATTGTATGCATTTCTCCCAACATTTATTTATTTATACTTTATTCATTTTTTGTCCCTCATAAAACGAGCTAGCAGGGTTTTTTTTGTTTTTTTCTGACATAAGCTAACAAGCGGTGGACGTAGCTAACGGTTTACAGCTAGCTTAAGGTGTTAATTATTTTTGGAAAAACATATCAAATGCTTTAATATTCAACTTCGCCGAATGGATTTTCATGAAGGGGAGCATTTTCAAAAACAATGTAGTGACCACCATACTGGTGAAAGTGAGTATGATGTGGTTCTTCGGGCGGGAAGTGACCAAGCCATGACCGGCGACCCGCGGGCACTGCGTCACCTGACGGCCATGGAGGAGAGCTGTCGGCCGGCTCCTCACTGTGACAGAGTCCAGACAGACATACAACCAAACATGCGGAGGATGCTGGGAGTGTGGATGTTCCAGGTAATGAAAGTAGTTCAGGTAGATACGGCCTTATATGTCACATCGATGACACTAAGTGAAAACGATTGGCTTGTCTTACAGGTGTGTGAGGAGCAGAAATGTGAGGAGGAGGTGTTTCCGCTGGCGGCGTGTTACCTGGACTGCTACCTGAGCCGCTTTGCTATCGGGAAGTCTAACCTGCAGCTTTTAGGAGCGGTTTGCATGTTCCTGGCATCTAAAATGAGAGAGACTGTCCCTCTGACTGCCAGCAAGCTTTGTATCTACACAGACAACTCCATATCATTGTCAGACATCCTGGTAACACTATTATTATTATTATTTATTACAGACATAATGTGACTTGTGTAAGCACACATTGGTAAAGGGTTGTCTGATCATTTTTCTGATCTCCCTTTAAGTTACATGGAAAAAATAATAATTTCTACAACAATTGAACTATATTATCTATCTTTTTTAAAGAAGCACCTGGAATGGGATTATTCAGTCATCAGCAAGTATGTCCATAAACATAAGATCATACATATAACTTATCGTATTTAGGACCAGGAAGTTATGAGGCACTGCTGTCAGGCAGGTTTCCTAAGATCTGACAATACCCCATCACAGTGTTTCCCATCCAGGGTGGTACCTTCAGTAGAAGGGGTCCTGACTCTGAGATACTTAAGTGGATAAAAATGCACAATTGCAGGACTATTTTACTATTTGAGGGTTTAAATCAAATAAACTGAGAAGACATAAAAAATAATTTCTATTGTGACAGGTGTAGCATTGGGTTGGACGTTTGGTTTAGATTCATGTGTGTGTTGCAGCAGTGGGAGGTAGCAGTGGTGTCCAGGTTGGACTGGTGTCTGGCCTCTGTGGTGCCCTCTGACTTTTTGGAGCCGATCCTTCACACACTCCCCTTTGTTTGTCCCCATCACCTTCCAAACATGCGTAGGCATGTTCACTCCTACATCGCCCTGGCAGCCACTGGTGAGTTACATAATCCAGTTTTCAACACACGAGATGTTTTCTTTGCAAATAAAAAGCACTAGACGTCAGGGCACATCAAGCCTGGGAGAGAAAATATTTTCAAAGACATGTTTTCACAATAATTCTTGTGTTAAATTATTCCTGGGTTCAAATATAAATCTTTATATCATTCCACTGCAATAAAAGCAGCTTTATATATCACCTAAAATGTAAACATCAAACATTACATTTAAATAACAATTAAAGCCAGTATGTTGAGAAAATATGATTCAATGTGTTCATTAAGTTTTGTGACAGGTCAATCTTTTCAGGATCTTCTTTGATGCTGTAAAATTATTTGTAACTTAGAAACGTTTAGTGGGATGTGAGTGTCCGTGTGGGCCTGCAGCTGTTTGATTTTAATCTGATTGAATTATGTTCTTTGTAAATGAATGTCTTGTGAAAGAGGGGCAGATTATAAAGAAGATAAAGAGATAAAGATAAACTTTATTGATCCCCGTGGGGGAAATTTGTGCATTACAGCAGCTCCAGAAAACAGGGGACGGGAATATAATTCTTAAAAATAAAAATAGAAGTTAAAAATCAAATCAAACATATTTACATCAGTTAAATAAAAAAATACAATAATGGAAAATTACACAGTAACTACACTGGAAAGAGTTATTGTTATTAAAAAACCACACACAGTGTGTAGCATTATTTATATGAGTCATGAGGTGGTGATGCTGTTAAAGAGTCTGATTATAAGATCATCCTCTGATATATAAGATCATCCTTCTTGCTGCTCCTTTTTATTCAGGATTTGAGATTAATTGTATTGTTATTTAATTGTTTCATTTGGTTGATGAATGAAATAAACATATTATAAATATAATTTGACTTTAATGAGCATTAAAAGTATCTTTCTGGTACTGAACACCGAACACAAAGCTGCCATAATTCTCATCACAATGTGTCAGCAGTTCATTTTGGAGACAGAGAGCTGAGTTTGTGTAATCCTGTATTGTCTACTTTGAAAGACCAGCGCCTGGCCAGCCATTCAGCTGGCTGATTTCCCACGAATCTCTGTAATGCCGCTCGAGGCACGATGTCGCAGGGATACAGTCAGTTAGTGCCTTTTTAGACTGACTATGACATTACAGACCATACAATGAAAAGAACTCCTTGCTCCTGACATTTTATCCCATTCAAACTAGAGGTCTGACAATGTGTCACATGGCTACGTTTTCATCTTCTGCCTCAAGCAATAAGGATGTTGTAACACATGAACAGGTTTTGGGAAATGTCTGCTTTTGAGTTCTCCCCTATTGTCCATCAGGAGAGGACTACAATGCAGACACTTTTCTTATTGTGTACACAGCTGACCTTTACTGACCTTTAACTCTTCCACTGCTTTAAGTGTCCATCAGAATTCTTTATTATTTTGAGAATCGTCCTTTCTTCTCCTCAGACTGCAGGTTTGCAGAGTTCTTACCCTCCAGTGTTGCATGTGCTTGTGTGAGCATAGCAGTGCAGAGGCTAAAGCTAGCGGACTCTTCCCTCAACCCTGATTCAGTTATGAAGTTTTTGGCCAACCATCTGGCCATTGACCTGGTAAGGCTACTGTTTAACTGACATCTTTAGATATCTTTTGACTTTGCCCTTTTTGCAAACACTGACAGACGGGGCCCTGATTAAACAGTCTGTGAAAAGGTACAACTTGTTAAATACATGTTGAGGAAAAGAAACAACGCAGCATATGCACTATTGGTTGAATTGCCATAGAAAATCTGTCCATGACCGATTCATGAATCTCTGGATGTTTTTCTGTGAATTTGACCCCGCACAGAGCTCTGTCCTCCTCTGCCATGACCAGCTTTGGGGTGTGTTGGAGCTCAGCCTGCCCTCTTGTTTCCAGAGTGTGTTTGCAGATCAGGAGGGCACAGCTCAGAGATTAGCTACACCGCTGCCGACATTCAGGATGTTGTATTTACACCAGTGACATCAAGCTAAAGCACTCCTCCCAGCCATGAATTGCCGAAGCGTGCTGTAAATTTGCATCCATTAACTACAACATGAAATTTAAATAGGAGATGAAATGTGTCTAAATAAATGCCATTTATACTTCCTCTAAATAGTTGCTTAAATATGGATGGTTTTGGAGATTCCACCTTGACATGAGTTGTTGAGCTAGTTTGAGAAATGATTTTTTCCAAATGTCCATTGTGTTGCTACATTCTCTTTTGTTTTTGCAACTTCTCCTGAAACTTTGTTAGAATAGAATAGTGATTGTGTTGTCTTTTTTATGATATTAGTAGTTGAATTGCCCTAATTATTGTAAGCATTGTTTGCACATGTTGCCTATATGTATTAACTGCTCTCATTTCTAGTGTTTTATAAGATCATTTATCTCCACAGTTCTGATTAGATTGAATAGATGTTTATGCACTGCTCTGAATTCCCTTGTGACTATAAATAAACATATTCAGCACACAAAATTAAACATTAGTCTAGAAGTCAGTGACAGAATCAGACAGCATTCATTTTTAATATTGATTTACTTCAAGTCACACAACAGCATGTCAAATCCCACAGTCATACAACTGATAAGCCACTAACTTTGGCAACCATGGTTTTAGTTACTGTCAGAGAAAAAAAAAAAAAGCTTAATAGAGCCTGAACACCTGAAACTTACAGGATAAGAGAGAGGGAAAATGTTGATGAAATGCCAAAAAGCACATTATATTTTGCTAAAAATATGAAACCAATATAATGTTGACCAGTCTATCCAAAGGCTAACCACATTTTTCCTCTGACACAAATGATTTATGGTTCATGACAGATAACACTACAACACAAATTTCCAGTTCAAATCAGGAAAAGCCAGTTCTCTGTATACTCATGCAGGCCTTAAATACATGAATAGTTTCAAAGTGTGACAAAAAACCCTTCCAGTTATGACCAACAGCACGATTAGGCAGTTTCTTCTCAGGTGAATCTCTTGTGACAAAACTCAGTGCTAATTAAAGGTTCTAGGTATCAGGTTTCAATAATGTGTTATTCAAGGCACTGGCTTCATCTTGTTTCCTCAATGTCAAACATGCCAATCCAATTAAGTAACTCCATTATGCAGCATGAAATATCAATACAGATGTTCTGTTCTCGGACCAGACATACATACTTCATAAAGCAGGGGTAAGCAGTAGACCCCATAAGTATAACAAATGGTGAATATGTTCTTTTCAAATGTAATCTAAGATTATCATCAGCATGTTTAATTTTCCATTTTAAACATATGGGTACAAGTTTAGTTTACTATTCAAGTCCCAAGCATGCGACACTAACTTTTAGTTAGATCCTAAAACTTCTCATCCATCTTTGTGAAATACTGTTCTGCCCCGAGTGTTTAAATAGTTTTGAATGAAATGCACATTAAGCATTTGTGTGCAGCTATTATACTTGTTTCACTTTGTGTCATGGTTTCCTTTCAAAACACGTTTCCGTTTTCAAAAGTCCACTTTTGACTTTCTAACAGCGGTTATGATAACAAGCTCCACCTTTTCAGTGAAACTGCCACCTGCATACAGAGAGAGAATGGCCACCTGTATCAGTGTTTGCTCAAAAACAAAGGCAGGCTCTACTGGTTTCGCTGGATGTGAGTCATGTGTGCCAGGATTATTATTCAAGTCATCATCAAAAATTGGCACAAGTCATCTCAAGAAAAAACAAACACAACAATTATATAAACAAACTTGTTGAGAGCTTAAGTCCCAGTTTAAACAACATTCATATCAGCACTTTTGTTAGCTATTAATTAAAAAAACATTTGCTCTTTGGTATCCATGAAATGTCATATTTCCAAATCCTTATTAGAAGTTTGAACACATCTCAACATTTAATCTGTGCGTAGTGCGTTATTGCTGTAACCCGAGACAAATATAAGGCTGACAAATGAACGAACATAACAAAGCAAGGCTCCTATAGCTCTTAAGTCATAAACACTTCCTCAAACTGTCTTATTGACATTGAAAAACCCTGACTTTGTTGCATATGCAACACCTGAAAAAACGTCAGACTGTGAGTGTTGAATAACCTCCTTAGTTTATGTTTTTGGTTTCAGGATCACTTTTTGCATTTGCTACACTTTTGAAACTGAGCGTTGAGAAAAGGCTCCTGGTTCACAAAAAGCAGCTCTCTTCTGAGAATCTTTGAAATGAACTATCAGTCATCATTTTCATGAAACAAAATGTGCATTCTGGTTACTTAAGCCTGTTTTCCTAGAAGTATAATTACAAGATAATTCAAGCAACTATAAAAATCCCCATCTAAACCTCAATCTGGTGTTTCACATGATGCCTCCTCCCTTTTTGGTTCTCAACATTCCTGAAGTTAGTCAAAATAATCGTCCCAACAGTCTGCTGGTAATTTCACATAATGCACTTTGGCTACCACTTCATTAGTAGTTCATATGCATTTGAATCAGAATGAAAAAATCTGTCTTTAATCAGAGAGCATGACTTCTGGCAGATCTTCAACTTGCTGCAGAGCCTCGTATGACCATGGCCTGTTTGTAGGCCTCAGTGACATTATCACAGTCTGTGATGGAGAAGGTGCTGTCAGCCACTCCAGACTCATAACACTTCCAGGTTCTCAGCAACCCCTCCCGAAGAATCCCATCTTCACAGATGTCCAGTAGATTGTCAGCAGACACGCATCCTCTCATGTTAGTCTTGACCGGTTCATCCATTTGAGTCGGAGGTTTGACACGATCAGGCAGATCAAGCTGATCAAAAGACTCAGAAGACAGAATGCTGTCCTCGCTGACTGCCCCGCTCGGCCTAGACCTGGTTCCTCCATGTGGTAAAGACAGTGCCAGCTGGTCCAGAGAGCTAAACTCCTGCAGGCAACCTGAGGAGAACTTTCCATTCCGCTTTAAGATGCCTTTCCTGTAGGGCGGGGCTGAAGGGCACTCTTTAGGTCGAGGTGCCCAGCCAGAGTCACTGTTCTCAGGAGATGATGAGTAGTACCCTGACTCTTGTTCCGTGGACTTCTTCAGGATACCTTTTCGGGGCTGCAGTGCAGCTGATGGAGCGTTGGCTGGTGCAGACAGACCCAGGATGTTTTGCGGCTCCACAGCAGGGCTTTCACTCACTGCCTTCTGCTTTACACTGTTGCGTCTCTTTAAAATACCCTTAGAGGGACGACTATCGTTGCTTGACTCATAAACAGCCTGGGAGACATTGTTTTCTTTACGTGACCTTCGTAGAGAGCGCTGCCGCACCACATCCCCTCCCCCACCCTGTGAGCGGAGCAGACAACGCATCTTGGAGCCGTTGTCCAGTAAAGGCCTGGATGTACGGCGCAGCCAGCTAGCAACACTAGCCAGCCCAGAAGGGTGTGATGGTGATGGAGAGGCTGGTGAAGGGGCCTGCTCCACTGGACTGCTCTTTGTCTCGGACAGTAACGGCTGCTGGTAGCCCCAGTTGAGCCACCAGTGCCCTGCAATCTCCTCTATTGTGGCCCTGCGCTCAGGATTTACCATCAACATCCAACGAATGAGCCCACATGCATCTGAAAAAAAGAGCAAGAGAAAATAATGTTAAGCTAACAATACCTGAGATGTTTCAAACTCAGAATAGTCTTTCAGACCCTTCAAGAGAAGTTCTGCTGAGAGACTCACCAGATGGGTTGTTGGGTTTGCGGTAGTTGCCAGTGCTGATCTGTTGGACCAAAGCCTTGTGGTTGTGTCCATCAAACGGCATTGTGCCATGAACCATAGTGTATAACAGCACACCAAGAGACCAAGTGTCCACCTCTGGCCCACGGTAAGGACGTCCATTGACAATCTCTGGGGAAGCATACAGAGGGCTGCCGCAAAATGTTTGGAGGTACTCGTCGCCGCGGTAAAGGTTCGACAGGCCAAAGTCTGCAATCTGCAAGAAGAGGAAGAAGACGTCAGTGGGTACAGTGTCAGAATGTTATTTTTACCAGATAACTGTAGTGTACTGAAGTGCTAACTTCTCAAAGTATCAGTTACTCATAACACATACTACTGCTTTCAGTTATAGTTAGTCAGCTTTACACAAGCACTAAGGTAAGATAATCCTTTATTTATCCCACCACGGGGAAATTTACATTGTTACAGCAGCACAGAGCAAAGATTGCAAACAAAAAGTGAACACAGTACAATTTAAATTAAAAAAATTAAAATGTACAAAAAAAATACAGAGATACCACAAAGTAGATTGAAAAATAGATCAGCTGAGCTGCAGTTTTGACAAAAATGTAGTCAGAGTATTCCGTGTACCACAGTGCACATAAGGTGTAACATGTTATTGCACAAAGTGGTTTGGTAAACATAATATAACATTATTGCACAAGGTCAGAGTGAATTGTCCAGTTGTGTGTGTTTTCTAATGCAGAAAATAATCAATTCTTATTAAATATTCCAATCTGACAATTCTTTAGATTTAATTGCATGAACATCGACATGCTGTCATTTAAAATTCTCAATATATATTATAAATAATACCCCACAAGTGTACACACAGTCAATATCTGAATGGCCATTAACATGTTTTGTGAATGCTAGGTGTGTAAATGCTTTTTCCACTTTCCCTCATGCTTACCTTCACATTGCCATTGCCATCTAGTAAAATATTCTCCAGTTTCAGGTCACGATGCACTATTCCATTCTAAAGAGAAAAAGTGAGATACATTAAAATATTTTACAATAATAATTCTCCACTAGGCCATCTCATGTGAGTTCACTGGAGGTGTCTCCATTACATAAAGGGATTAGTGTTTTACTAGGTCAGAGCACAGATTGTTTTATGGTACGTCAGCTGTGCCCCATTGTCCTCCGCTCTACAGGGGGGAATACCATTGACTAGCAAGGTTTGAAATGGTTTACTTTGAAATATGCAGGTCAACGCCTTTCTTCTTCTGGGCACTGCATGTAGCCATGGACGCACAGTTTGTAAGTTAAGTTACGTAGCAGTTATTTCATGTTTAATATACCATACAACTGATTGCAAATAGGATTTCGATGGTTTTCATGACAGCAGCTGACAACATGGAAAAAACATATTTAAGCAGACAAGAGCCTGCAGTAAAAGTGCAATAAGACAGATTGTTGTCAGAATGTCATAAGGCAATTCACTGGGTAGTTATTGTCCTGCAAACATTCCTCAAAGCTTTGCAAAGTGCTGAACAGCTACACTAAAGTATAATGTGCTGTTTGAATGTCCCTTATCACACAGCTCTGGACTACAGGAACAACTGATTGCGTGTGTGTGTATATGTGTTTGCAGAGCCCTTCTGTTCTATCACACCCTCATTAGAGTGTGAGACCATGCGTGTTTGTGTGTGTGTTGAGACGGCTGGCCTTTAGCCCTGACGCTGCCACTCCACAGACCAACTGTTCACATCCCCCTACATCGTGCTCAGGCGGGCTCACGGTGAATAATGCCCATTATGTAACTCAGGGGGTGCCAGCACTCTGGAAAATCACAAATAGCAGGCTGACTAGGCTCTGTGCTTTTAGCTCTGATGAAGCAAAGTTACTAAAACTTATAAGATTCCCCATAGTCATATTTTGGTGTTGGGTATGAAAGCAGTCGAATGAGATATGTCGCCTTACCTGATGACAATAATGCACAGCTGATACAATCTGTCTAAAGAAGTGCCTGGCCTCCCGTTCAGAGATGCTCCTCTTGTCACAGATGTAGTCGTACAGATCCCCTCGGCTGGCGTACTCCATCACAATAACTATTTTGTCCTTGTTTTCAAATACTAAAAAAAATAAATAAATAAATAAATCACAACAGACAAACAGTCAGCATAAGTCAAACTTTTTAGAGACACAGCATCACTCAAAGGAGTCTAGATATCTTCAGATTATTTTAATTTAAGTGTGGATGGTGCAGAGCAGTTTGTATTTACTCTTAACTTCCCTCTTAACCTCCAAACATCCGTCTCTCACCAGTTAAGATTTGTCTCAAAACATATTTACTCAATTGCCTTTCATTTCCAATAACCCATCCAGCTCAAAGATCTGTAGCTCTGTTAGTCTTGTGTTACTCTGTACATGTTACCTGTTCTTTCATTTAAATGGTTGTTGTTCTTGTCTGTTACTTTGTTTTTTTTCTATCTGCGCTGTTCAGCACTTTGGATCAACTGTGTTGTGTGTAAAGTGCTGCTCCCCCCCCCCCCTTCCCTTGTTCTCACTGATTAGGATAAACAGGGCCCCATAACAACTGCATTGCAAACAAACATGCACTGAGCTGGAGAGACACTGAGTGATGACCATCTCATCAGGCATGAGGGGCGCTGGAAGACACAAGGCCCTGCACATTATCCCACAGTACTGACGGGGTACCAAGGGGTATCATCACTTACATAACCCTGCATCAGTCTCCACAAAGACTTGCGTGACCAAACTGAATCTCTAACAGAGACTGAACGAGCGAATTGCCTTTTTAGGTATCACGTTTCAATACCCGTGTGGCTCAAAGGTCAAGTCATTTCTAAATGATGACTACACTGAATCTCTCTCACACACTTTGAAATGCACTGCTGGTCATCATTTTCATTTTGTGATACTTTACCTTCATATATGGTAATGATGTGCGGGTGGCAGAGAGTGGACATTATCTCAATTTCTCTGCGGATGTGAACCAGGTCTTGCTCGTCCTTGATTTTCTCCTTTCTGATCGACTTGATGGCCACCTGAAAGATTGATTTTGGACAAAAGAACGACATCAAATTAGATTGATTTAAGGTAATCATAAGTACATTTACACAGCGTTACAGTTACTAGAAAGTTCAAAAAGTTGCTTCAAATTGAGGCTGTATCTTTAAATGAATGTTTGTGCAGGATAAAAGTAATTATTAGAAACACAACACCACAGGAGCACAAGTTCAATTCATTTGTAGACATTGATATTCATTTTCCCAAGTTTACCAATGATCCACTGTTCACACCAGACCAATGAAGACAGCATCAATTAAACTTCAGTGTATTGAAATGTTCAGGTGTGCATATTATTGCTATGAACTCATATTTTCATATGAAAGAAAGGAGGTATTGTTTTCAATATACAATATGTAAACATAACCTCACTCCACTGGAAAAAGAAAAGATTAGTACAGTGATTAGCGGCTGCCCTGCTGTTGGGAGAGAGTTTGGTGTATTAATACACTCGATTAGGCCTGAACTTTCTTTACTAGAAGAAGATGAAAACTATTTAAATATAAGCTTACAAATGAGTAAATGGAGAGTGGCGTCCTCGTTAAAGAAACAATGGGCAGTGAAACAAAACTCTCCCATTATCTTTCCAACAAGGCAGAGGGGCGCCGGGTCAAGTATTGTCTGGCGTTAAGAAATCGATTGTGTGCTGTCATGTCTGGGAGAAATTTACATCTGTAAAGTATCTGTTTGGGTCTGTAATTGTGAAAGTGTCACATCCACATCTTTTGCAGTCTAAATGTATGTCATTATGTTGCATGTGTCTGTTTGAGGCTCAGCTGCCTGGGATTCCTCTGAGCGCAGAGTGCGTCATCAGTAAACTCTAACATTGAAGGGTGTCATGAGCTGGGGTGTCCTGGTTTCCTCTCTCTTCTAACCCTCAAGGCAGCAGACACAAGGGAAATGAGTAGAGCAGCGACTTGTCATATCAGTTTCAACACGCAGCCGTCTGGCGTCATGAGTCACTGTCTGGGCTGGATGCTCCTCCAGGTCAGCTCTGTGTTCACAGCAACCCAAAGCTTGATTCTGATTCTGGGAACTGAAGTTTCCTGCCTTTTGTTTGCATAGCTGTCAGACGGGCTGAACTCCCACTCATGATGAGTTCGCACCCCTGTGCAGTTATCTCAGTGTGAGCAGTCAAAGTTTGTTCCACGCAATAGGCACTGAAGTGGAAATATTTCATATTTAACTCTGAATTCCTGAACCAACAAAATAGGAAAGTCGGTTCATAGGAAATGATGGAGGGACATGTTCGCTGACGAGGGGACTTAAGTTGGTGGAGTCAAATAGGTCTACTGGTCAGTGCCTCAAGTGTTCAGTTTTATGATAGACAACCACAACACAAATACCTATACTAACTGGCATTAAAATTACTCCTTAAAGGCTTTATATGTGATTTTTCACACTTAAATATAATATAAATCAAGTATATCCTCTGAAAATAACTCTGTGAGTCATGACTGTCTACAATGGACAATGTAACACCCGAGTCTCACTGTCTCTGATGTTTTCAGAGTCCTATCTTCACTTTGTTTACATCGCCAGGACGGCCGGCTGACTCCTCCCCTTACGTATAAAAGTTGATTAATTGAGGGACTAGAGAAAAGAAGAATAACATACTGTACTCACTGCTTAACTGTGTTTCTAGATCACGCTCATTTCAGGTAAATTTACATGCAGTGTGAAGATACGAGCATAATAAAGATCGCTAGCATTAGCATGCTAACAACCCCCCCCCCCCCCCCCAGATTGTTGATGGACGGTCTGCCTCCCCCCACCCACTTGCTCCCTATCCCTCTTCCTGCATCTTATCCCATCTCTCCCCCTATCCCTTTCCAACCCCAGTGCAGTCTAGGCCTGTGAAGGCTGTTTTGTCATGAGCCGGGGATCCGGGACGAAGATTTCTGCCTTTTAATAAGGCAGTTTTTTCTTACCACTGTAACTTTTGCTGCTTTGCTAAAGTGCTCATGATGGATAGGCTGGATCTTTGTAACATAGTAATAAGTAAGGTCTTTTACCTGCTTTTTGTAAAGTGTCTTGAGATGACACTTGTTATGAGTTGACGCTATACAAAATAAATTGAATTGAATTAACACAACAATGCAGCGCGAGTTGTTTTGGTTTCATGCTGGCGCTCAAGGGCGACATCTACTGGATCAACAAATCACATATAAAGCCTTTAATAAGAATTATTCCTTTCACATCTATAATCTGCATCACTGTATCATTCTTGTTTTAATTTCTATTGTAGAAGCTAATTTTAATTGTTTTTTTAATTAGCTTCTACAAAAAAACCTAAGAAAGACTTCAACCAAAATGTGATGGATTTATGATTAGCTTGTCAACCAACTTAAGTTGGTGGGCCTTGTGGGTAAACACATTCTCCCGTATTGAGACTAAAGTCAACACTTCACTCTACCTAAATGGATTATGTAATAAAACTGATACATTCAGACAAACGAGCAGCTGTAGTGCCACAACACAGGAATGATGAAACCATGAAACCATCCTTTGTGCTGTGCCACTCCCTGTCTCACATTACAAAGCTAGGTCAATTATACTGCCAATACTTTGATAGGTAGTTCCAAACAAGGCAAATTAATGTTTTTCCTTTCTCACTGGATGCTATAAACTGCTTTTTAAAGGCTTGTTTGTCACTGTGCATTCACAACATTCATTTGGACTAATCAGTATTTTGACGTTTGAACACGGTCTTTAGGCAGAAAGATTATGAAGCTGCCTGCAGCACCTCACATCCTACAAAAGCTGAGTCTACCACCAAGTCGTATCAGATAGAAGTATAAAGAAAGGCGTATCACGACCTGTTTACTGCATGTTCAGGAGGGGAATTCCTGTCAGCTACTTCCTTGACTTCCCTGCACTTTCACTTAAACACGACCTATAATCACGGCGTGTTTTCGATGAACATGACTTAGCGGCTGAGCTGACTGAGGTCACTTCTAGGACACAGAGTTCAGCTGTCTGTGAAAGTAGAAAATGCTCAACTTTAAAGGTGTCCTTTTTGTTTATGATATTCTGCCTGTAATTTAATTTTCATGATTAAATTGTCTTGAAACAAAAAAAAAAAAATTCAAACTGAATGAAAATGACCAAGTGTGGAAACGTTTGCTTCATGACCCCATGTAAAGTCTGAGATGACAGTTTATTTAGTACACCTGTTAGGTAACACAAGGCTAATAAAACCACCCTGCAATAAACCCTACCTTATCTAACAGAGGTAACACTTTCATTTTTGTTGAAACTGCTTTATAGGTGCTGCCTGACCTATATGTTTCATTCTCTGGCCATAGTTTTAAGGGACTGTATTGCATTATACTGATATCTTTTTTTAATATTTCAGTCATCAGTCACTCAAGGGGAAGGCTACTTAACATATTAGTTGTGCTAGAACAAAATAAAAATAGCTTTTGCCCAGTCCTCTACTCCCCAAGGCATGGGGACCTGGAATTCACCTGGAAGGCTCATTGCAATTTCCCCCTCCTCCTTCATCAGGAGCAAAGAAAAAAAGTTTCCTGTCTAAAAGGAGTTCCTCCTATGACAAAGTTCCCCAGTTTTCCCAGTGAAACGCCTTTCCTTCTAGCTTTCATTGTAGCAGTTGGATGTGACTGTGTAAAACTTCTTCTATGTGTGACACATTAACAGGCATCTCTTTTTGCTTCCTTCTTCCAGAGGTCATCTTAAAACACAAGTGTGGAGTCAAAGTAGGGCTGGGAAATATATCGAGTTTTAGTTTATGTTGCATTAAAATAACATTATAGAGGTGCCGGGTCACCTTTTTCTCATCTCACTGATGATGACTGTCTGTCTGTCCCTCTTAACCCTGCTCCTCCTCTCTCTCTCTTTTTATAATATTACTTTTCAAATTCACAAACAGGTAGTGTATGTGTTTTCACTGTTAATAAAAGGCATATCGAGATATGAGTTTTGGTCCATATCGCCCAGCCCCAAGTCAAATGATTGAACCTTTTTTTCTCTTTAATGAGTTAAAACAAACAAACAGTTATGATACTGGGTTTGCATAAGACACAGACATGTATTTAAAACTGCTATCATATTATTTGAGTTTACATACTGTACTTATTCAACCCTTTTGACAAACAGCCCATTATCCAAACATTGTATAATTCACTGATGTGGTTACAATAAAATTATATAATTCGTTAATTACATATGGGATGCAATTAACAAGCTTATACAATGATCTCATAAAAACACTGAAAGTAAGAGCAAACACCCTAAATAAAACAAACACAGTGAACTCTCAGGCAAACTGAAGCTGGTTTGGCAGCTGACATGTAGGCTATGCCTGCAGCACTAACCTCTTTCGTTACTTTACAACTCAGGAATATAGCTCATGAGCTTTTACTAGGAAGAAGTTAGAACAAAATCGTACGTATACATTTTCCCGACTGAAACCCGGAATGTAGTCTACCTGTGTGCAAACTTCAGAACACCTAAAAATAGAACCGTAGGCTGTCTACCTCTGAACAGGTGGCCGACAGGACAGAGAGCAGACCTTAACACTGGTTGCAGATGTTGGCATCGTTAAAGGCAATTAACGTTGTGTTAAAATAAAGGGATAACATGTCTTACCAGCCTGCCGGACCTTTCCTTGGCTTTCTTCACCTTGCCATAGGTTCCTTTCCCCAGGGTCTCCAGGAACTCGTACCTGTGCTTCAGGTTGTGTTTGTGGTGGTGTCTCTTCACGGCTTGCTTTTTCACTTGGACCTGGGTGGAAACTTTCCCTGCAGGAGTAATTTCAGCCGGCAAAACAGCCCCAACAGACGGCCTGCGGTTTGTCGAAAGTCGGGCAACACTTATACCGTCCATGCTGACGCGACGGTGAAGTCTTTCTCTTCCGTTTATCGACGCAGGTGTTGTTGTTTAGGTGCATTCCTTCCCGCGAAGCTCTGTAGTGCGACTACTTGGTTGTTCACTTCACACACAAAAAGTGAATATGAACAGCAAATGTATGAAACTAAATATCTACGGAAAGACAAACAGAAACAGACAGCTAACTTCAGACTGTGACTGCCCGCTGGTCCACGGCACGCTGCGACCCGAGCGGAGTTCATCCAGTGGACAGAGTAGACACGTCAAATAGTCGAGGGGCGGAACAGGTACACAAAGGAGCGTTTGATTTGTAACACCAGGTGCTACCGACGTTTGTAGGCATGTGCACCTCGCGGCTGTAGTTGCTATCCAAAACTATTAAACAAAACCACATTTTGGTTCTTTTTTTTTAAATTTTTTAAATTTTTATTTGACATCAACCGTGAATCGTATGACACTGCAATTTGACAGTAGGCTAGTGTAAAAATGCTATAGCCGATTAGGCTATTTGCATTATTTATTAGTTTGCCAATTTTATTCACAATTTTTTATTTTTTTTTAAATGTTGAAACTGGGCTATATTTAAGTAAGTTATTTAAAAATATATATCTTTCCAAAATACTAGCCTAGCCTACATATAAAATAATAATTAGTAATTCAAAATAGATACCTTAGATGTAGCCTACTTTAAAACTGATATAATAAAACAATTATTGTTTGGAAGTTATGGGCATTTTGGTTCCCACAAGTTCATTGTATTATGTTTATTATTATTATTAGTTCACGTCTATTAAAACTTATTTTGAATCTGGTAATTCTACATAGGCTACGTCAATATTTTATTTAGCATAGACGTTGGACTCTTTCTATAGAAACAATTCTAAAATAAAAACTGAAAATGTATTTGAATGTGTTCTTTGTTATTCAGCTTTTTAGTTAACATGGCTCCGATTGGCAGTCAGTGGCGAAAAAAGAATGAAAAAACAGAAGTGGAAGAAGAGCCTGGATTGGTAGTTTAAATCCAGTAATTGGCCACAAGAGGGCATCATACTGTCACCAGATGCAAGAAGAGCTGGGTAGACTGATCGGAGCCTGTTTTAACCTATGGTTTTAACGTACATACTTAAAACTTAAATACAAGAGGCATGATACAGTTTTTCTATTAAATACTTAATAATATGTGTAAGTATGCTTAGTTTATAATATCATATTATGCTTAGTTTAAGTATTATGTTCACAATGTAATATTAGTTAAGTCACTGCTGATGAGTGTCAGATGTAAAACCGTGAGCCAACTGGCTACTCATCAGAGAGTTTGTCTAGTTTGACCTCCTAACCCACGAGGAACATCTATTGTGATTGCCATTCATTTTACTGAGTAACATGCCAGTGAAACTGCACTCATGCATGCAGAGGAACACTGTGCACAAACCAAATAATACAAGGGCTTTAGGTGCTCAGGTCACCACTGGTTGACACAATCTGGCAACAGAAGAAAACGAATATGTCATCTAAAAGAACAGACCTTAAATATTATGAGAATAGTTTAAAAGACACACCATAATGAAAACCTGAGAAGTCTTTCTGATCAGGATTGTCATTATAAATCAATAATTTAGAAATAAAAGCAGATAGGATTTTTATTAGACATTTGAAAGTTATTCACCCACAGCTAATCCAAGTATTAATTAGATCATTCAGCATGCCCGCCAGGGGACTCATTATCCGGATGGAGTGTCATCATTGTGTCAAAAACTGATTACTGTACATAGTGTCCCATAAATGTCCTCCATAATTCGCACAGATTGTGAAATAAATGAGAGACATACTTCAGGTGAATTGGTGTATAGGCGTGTATTTGTTATGATATAAAACCAAAATTTACTGAAGTGTGTTGGATTGGAAGTGTCATTTAAATATTTGCATATTGTGGCAACAAAAATGTGCATGAGTGAGTCAATATAAAGTAACTATAAAGTTGCTTTCAGACATATAGAAATCCTGAAGTATTCTGGGTGAGTTCCGTGTGTGAAGAGAAACAGCCAAATGTTTCACCCAGACTTCTTCCTGCCAGTCCCTTAGTAAATGTTCCTAATAAAGTAAGGGGTCATGTGCCCCCCACTCCACCACCAATCCCTCAACTGACAGGGAAGAAAACTTCCAACTGCAAGGGACAATTGTGAATAAGCAACACAGGAAAAATTTCAGGGGCAGAAACAAAGTGTTTACTGTAAATATTATGTTCATGTTGAAACACTGAAATTTAAACCTTTGATGAAGAATAAGTAAATTTAACTCTGCAACTGAAAGTAGAATTTGTAATCCTCTAAAATGAATAGATTACCAAATCACTATATGATTAGATATCATGCTTTAAATATCACAGCTGCCTTATATTTGGTACATTTGATTAATTTTGTCAGAATATTTCAGGTTTGTGCCTTCTTTAAATTACTAAAAGACTAGTTCAGTTATCGCTTTGCAGGTTCTCATATGCACTCTCTTATTTCCTTTTTAATGTGTGAAAGAGTAACTAAATGGAACATATTCTACATCATGGAATAAGAAAGTCAAAATAATTTAATTGAATCAAAAAAACACAAAAGGTTTTTATTATTAATTGTATTATATATTATTTTATTGTTTTTGTTATTATTATTATATATTATTTCATTGTTTTTGTTATTATTATTATTATAATATATTATTTTATTGTTTTTGTTATTATAATATATTATTTTATTGTTTTTTTTTAAAGATTTATTTTGGGCTTTTCGGACCTTTAATGCAGAGAGAGGACAGTGGATAGAGTCGGAAGCCAGGGAGAGGGAGCGGGGAGTGGCATGCGGGGAGGGGCCACGGGTGGAGGCGAACCCGGGCCTGCCGCTCGAGACGAGAGTCTCGATGCATGGGACGCGCGCCCCTATTTTATTGTTTTTGTAATTATTATATATTATTTTATTGTTTTTGTTATTGTTGTTATTATATATTATTTTATTGTTTTTGTTATTATTATTATTATTATTGGACCGTATGCCTCATACAGTCTATGCTTCGGATATTGACATTCCAACATTTCCCAGATTGCATTGCGTCATCCCGGACCCCGCCCTTTCCTCTCCCAAACTTCGGTTCATGTCAACTTTCTGTTTTGCACTGATTTGACTGCTTGGTCGCAGCTTTGAGATTTGGTGGCGCATCTTGCATTGCCTCGCCACCACCGACTCACTCCTCCACCTGCACTCCTCGAAAGAAGAAGACTGTCTGCTTGATTTATTTTTGTTGTCGTCCCTCTCTTCTCGTACACAGCGGAAGATATCCGCAACTTTCTCCGGCCCGCAGCCAGTTTAGGAAAGATTCGTTTTTCCTTACGGAGTTTAATCAGGAAAACCATAAACAAAAAGCGTTGTTGAGGTCGCGGTCATTTTGAGGTAGCTATCTCAGCCGGGGCTCATTTTTAAAACACGGAGCTCTATGGATGTGAAACCGTGGCCTGGACTGTGTTCGTGAAGTGAAGGGCTATGGAGATGCCTTCTGGCTAGCCGGGCTAACGTTTTCTGGACTACAGCTAACCAGCTATACCACCTAGCACCTTTAGTAGTCAGTGTAAGAGGCTTGGTGTCTATTGTTCTTCACTTCTCAGTATGCAGACGTCAACACTGTTGGTCATATCAAAAACGCCGAATATCGGTTAGTTTGTTAGTTGAGCTAATTTATGAAGTTAAGGCGTTAAGCTAGTTAGCTGTGCTTGTATGCTTCAATAACATAACAACAAATGTCAAATGTTCAGCCCTTATTTAATGACACGAAACACCGAAGGGACTGATGTCTTGCAGCACCATTAGTACATTTCTGTGATTGTTTACGACAGCCTGGAAGTTCAGAGTGCAATCATGAATACTAACTAGGTGATAACTAGGACTGATAGCCAAACCAGACGTCCAATTTAGAAGTTTTGCACCTGCTTAACCATCACTACAAGGAGAAGACAGTTGTCCCAAAACAGTCGACAATGGAGGGAAATGTTCAACAAAAGACGACTCCTTTAGCTCGGGAACTGACAAGGATATTTAACAGCTACAACAAGCACACGATACAACTGAAAAAGAACTTGAAAGAGACTAATGCTTTCTTCCGGGAAATAAGGCAAAACTACAGCAATGCTTGTGCATCAACCGTGAGCTCGGATACTTTTTCTCTGGAGGCAGGTAAGGTTTGAAAACGTGCAGCAACAACATCACAACACTTCCGTCTGTGCACATGAATGTCGCAATGTTTTACATGTTAAAGGCACCTTAAATGATTTCCAAAAAATAAACTGGTATCCATAGGAATACATCCATTAACATGTTAATCCTATAGAGAAACAAATAATAGACTCAGAAATGTTTCCTGCCAAGTGATTTCTCCACCAAACTAGACTGAAAAATGCATTAAGGGGGGTTAGGGAAAACTAAAGAGATTAAGCCCCCCCTCAAAAGCATGAGCAGACTAAGTGCACCAAATATGCTGAGATTTCTGCACTCAGAAGTTTGCTGAGAGCTGGTGGATATCAGACAACCGTTCGTCCATTCTTTATAATGTATGTCTGAAGGTGTCTGTCACTTTCAAACAGATGCTTTTGCCTTGAGTCCACCTTTAAAAATGAAGCTTGATATTCATTATTATATACATTTTAAACTATTTTTCCATTGCTAAAAATTCCAAGTTATTTTGTATACATATCCTGAGTGATACAATACTCACTATTATAATGAACCTGCTTGTGTGAAACATTTATTAAATGCACAGATGCCCTGGAGAGGCTACTTGCTCCGCTAGTGTCGTGTAAACAGAGATGGTCAAACAGTTTTCCTCTACATTAATTTAACAATGCTTATCCTAAAATTAGCCATAATCAAATTAAAATGGGACTAATATCTTTCTTGAGTAACGGCTTGGCTTCACCTGCCAATAAGGTTGTCAGTACTAAAATGTGCATCACATGATACGGAAGGATCCCAAAATAGTTTTAACATCTATGATTAAAAAAGACAATTTGCAGTTATGTCTGCACTCACTTTCTGGTTTGCATGGTCTATCCACTGATGCACAGGCCATGCAGGTCCTTATGAAATGCTAGGCCTTAATGCATCATGTTTGGTTCACAAGTGAGGAGTGCTACATAAGAGTTATAATAAATGCAAGTGCACTGCATACTAAATATCCAATAGGCTGTAGCTGCTGTCTTAGTTATGTAAGTAATAGAGACTGTGACTCAGCATCATTGAGGGTTATGTCTTATACTGTACCTTCTATTGAAAAGTTGAAATGGTTCTTCTGTGCTCTCCCGATCTAAGGGCAAGCTCAGGATATTATAGCCCAAGGTGATACATCAGATTTGAAATATTTTAATATTATATCATGAGACAATGATTTACTGTATGTTCTAGAAGTAACTCTCAGATACTAGGATTAATGTTTCACCGAGTAGTCAATCTATACTTTCCAATAACTCCCCAAAATCTCACAAATTCCAGGAATCAATTGAGTTGGTTTGGGTAACGACAATTTATGTATCCAATTTATCTTTGTCTGTTCCCTCAGGTCAGCTTAGCTGTATTTCTTTCCCAAGTCATGAGGAAGAGTTCCTACGCAGCACTGTAGGTGCTGTCCCGTACATCCTGGTGTTGGGCCAGGACTGTGCTGCCCGCTACCAGCTACTCAACTGCCTTCTTGGGGAGAGGTTGCTGCCACTAGGCCCAGAGGCCGGAGAGGCATGTGAGGGAGTTCAGGGCACTGTCTGTAAGAGGCGGAAGCTGTGTTTCACCCATGGAAGACAGACAAGGCTCAGCCTGGCACTGCCTGGCCAGTATGAGCTGGTACACCAGCTGGCAGCAAACTGTGGCAGATGGGATACAGTTCCCCGGGAAGACCTGGAGATCCATGAGGAATGTGAGGACCCAGCCCACAGGCTAGCAGAGCTGGAGATCACCCTGCATCACCAACTGCTTCAGGTAGAGATATTCCATTTTTCTTTTCAGATACCTTTACTGATACCAAACTCAGATGAGTGCTGAAGGAAATTTTAGTAGGCAAAGAACTGTGATGACATCAAATGCTGGGATCACTACATCACTGAATGTGTTTTTTCAGCTAGGCCTGGGAGATATATCAATCTCGATTAGCCCTTAATTACATAGATACTGCTATACATTTAGGACACTGACATTTATATGGTGCGTATCAAACAACGTATAAACTGCAGAAATAGTGACAACAATCAGTTTTTCTGCTTAATCAAGCCGCTGGTGCAGAAGTGGATGTTTCTAGTATAAGGAAAAAAACGAGTGCCACCAAAGTAACTCAAAGTATTTGTGAAAGTGAACTTTATATTACTGTTTATTATAGACTTTATCATTAGATTGACCTTCACCAAGGGCTAAAGGTGATGACATTAAAATTCAGATTTTCTGCCAAGATGAGCACGGTAACAAAATGATAACAAGATGTCAATATTATAGACAATGATATGATATCTTACTGGGCATCATATGTCTGCATAAGAATGTCAGAGAGACACTGGTCCTTAATGTTTAACCCCTTTTTTATGTATTTAATAATCTGCTCTTTATGCTTTAAACAGTATAAGATGTGAATACTTGATTCCCAGTAAAAATCTAGGGGAGGATGAACAAAAATGGAATCCTACCCTGAAAATAAGCTACTAATATGTCGATGGAAGCTCGGCCGTCAGAATCCACCTGACATACTCTGTCTGGTAAATCGTAAATCGTGTTGAAGAGACACACGTTTTATAAAGTGAAACCTCTTTCTATTTAATGTTTTCCTAGTGTCTATTAACTTTATAAAAAATAAGGTCCAATGTACTGCAACTATCAGGATACCCATTAAAAGCAGCTATTGAAATCAGGATAAATATCAATATTGATACATTCAGAAGAAGTTATTGGGATGAAATATTTAGCCATTTCACCCACCATTGTTTTTTTCTAGTTAAATAGCCATTAAATCAGTGTGGGTATATTTCTGCTGACGTGATGAGCATTCCCTGGAGATGGAACTGCATGCTTCTCTTTCTGCTGGAAATGTCGGAGAACAAATTTATTGACTTCACATAGTTATCAATTAAGACATACATATTTTTGTATAATAATGTTTTCAATTTGGTACACTGTGGTGTTGTAGCTTTCTTTTTTGAAATGAAGTTAGAACAGTTTAGTTGCCCTAAAAAGTTTGATTAAACCACCACAAGTCATGCTGTCATTGCAGTGAAAAACAACAGTTAATTTTATATATGAGATGAGATGAGATGAGATGAGATTCAACTTTATTGTCATTACACATATACAAGTATAGAGTAACGAAATGAGGTTTGGCATCTCACCAGAAGTGCAAATAAGCAGAAAGTGCAAGAGTCTGTGCTATGTACAGTAATTACAAAATTTACAGATGTAGACAAAAAAAGTGAATTATTAGGTATATATGGATGGCTGGATTAGTGGGATGCTATAAATATAAATAAATGCTATAAATAAGTAATGCTACAAAATAAGTGTATTCTTAGGATTATAATATACAGATTAAGGTGCAGTGAGCATGCTATACTAATAATATACAGATTAAGATGCAGTATGCCATGGGGAATAGGAGATCAAAATGAAAATGTAACTCCTTGAGCTCTGTCACTGATTTGTATCATAGAGCCGGACCCTAACTGTGTTTACTTTTTGTGCGGTGGCATTTCCCTCTAAATAGCCTGTGTGTTCACACGTACACAAGCTTTTCTCACAAATAGATTACTGAGCAGATCTGATTATTTCCTGTGCTGTACAGTGTTTCACTGATTTATGCTACAGTTCAGAAATGCATTCTTTTCCAGTCACGTTTCTCCCATTTTTAAATACGGTACATATTTACAGGTTCTGCTTAAAGTTGTGTGGAAAAGAAAGAGTTGTTGTGCACAGTGGTGCTATCCTACTGATCTTCAGCCAATGAAACCTGAAAATGTCCTGTGGTGGGAGTGAATTGATTAAGTATGGTGTAATGACTGTACTCATTCCTTATTATGTGTGACACGTGGAAATTAGTCTCTAATCCTTTAGACCAAGGCCCCTTAGTGAGCATCACACAGCCCCAGAAACCAGGCCTAGTTCTGCTTGAGGACAGCCCACCCGCCCAGCCCCCTTACGTAATGCCGCTGGTCTGGTGCAATTCACATGACTTGGTCATATTAAAAATCCCAAACCCTTTGCTTGCAATGAAGTTTCCATGGTTACAACTGAATTCTGGGACACTGGTCGTTCATCTCGTTACCAGATACTTTTTTGCTTTGACTTTCTCAAAGCCTAATCTTGTTTTCGCCTGAGCTGTGTGGGAACGTAGTCACAACTTTTTGATCCAACGTGTTGTCCTAATGTTGTCACACATTATAATCATAAAAATCAATTTCATCTTCTAAGTATGTGCTTTAAGACATCAGTTTTGTGTGAAAAACATTGTGAGAACTTTGATCAGATTTTTTGTTTGACATCAGCTTCATGTGTTGCTGAATTTTTAAACCCATGAAATGGAATTTGCATGAATCCTGTTATTTTGTTCAGGATGGTTATAGGTCTTATCTGAAAAGCAGAGAAGTGTAATATATGAAAGCCTGGAGGGAAAATATCAGGGCTGGGAGTAAAGCATTTTACACTCCTGTTTAATGTCACGTGTGACTAAAAGCTATGGGATCATTCTGCAATCCCTTATTTGGGTCAAAAACTTTTTACACTCCAGAAGAACTCAGGGGAATTTATTAGCCGGGTTATGTTTGTAAGATATTAAACAAACTCAATCATAGAGGAGGAAAAATAGGAAAGATTATTTTGAAATGTGTTCTTCGGTTTCCCCCAAAGAAAGAATAAAATTGAAGTTATTACAACTAAAATAATTATTTCCACATATAAATATTGCTGTGAATCCTCTAACTTCTATGAGCCAGCCTCTATATCAAAGGTTTTACAAAAGCTTAAGCAGTAAATGAATGAGAGATTCACATGTTTTGGCTGGCGTAAATGAAGGCACAGAATCTCTCTGCGCACTGTGGTATTCACACAGTCTTGCCAATATCACAGCCACTTGTTTGAGGAGCCGGCAGATGAGAAACCAACTTGCTAATTAACCCTCTCCACATCCCAGAGGTTACTCAAGTTTTCTCCACCTCAGAGGACACAAAGGAAACCACATAGCCAAGGAGATCATAGTTATGAGAAAATCATATAGCTAAATTATCACCATGATTCTTGAATTCTTTTTGAAGTGAACATTTAATTTCTTACACCGTTGTTTTTCATCACTGTAACTCTGTAGAAGTAGGTCAGCTCTACAGACAGTGGCAATAACAAGACATCTACAAAACAAAACAATAATTTCAAATAGCCACATCCCTGAAGAACTGAAATTCAGAATATAAACATTGCATTGATTTTGATTGGCTGTGAACAAATGTTTGCAGGCCATCTTTGTTCTAAAGAGGCTGCTCAGATGGGTTCAGCTCTTGTTTCTTGGAGACAGGACTGACTGTCTCTTTTGTGTCGCTGTGAGTCGTTTATTTGCCTCTTTTTCTCTGACGGTCTTTTCCACCCCAGTTATGGTCTCGCTCTCAAGCTCTCTGTCTGTTCTTGTCGTTTTTGTTTTATTATCGAGGGTTAAGTCAACCTATTACATGTGTCATTTTCAGCACTGTGTCACAGACATTCCCAAGACCATCAGAAATATCTGTTTGCCATTCTGTTCTCAGAATTAGAAAGGGCATGTGATTTGTGAGGATGTGGTTTTGCACCTTTTGCAGTGCAACCTGTCGGAACATCTTCAGTGTTTGAAAAGTGAGCTCTGGTTACTTTGTACAGTTGTAAATATGAGGTTTTAGTCTCACATTTAAGTTTAAACAAATGTTCTGATTAATTAAATTACATCAAGAAAAGAAGCTGTGAGCTACCAATGATATATGTTCATTTTTAGTATAAAGATGCCTCTATAAGCATTCAGAAGATATGGACATACATCCATTTGGTTTTCTGAGCCCAGTAGCTTGATACATTTAGGTTATTTAACTTATCCTAATTAAAATGTTAAAGTAACAGACTAAATAAAACTATCTAGTCAATCAGAAATTGTGCTTATTGGCAGCTATGAAAAGCCTTTTCATGTAGGTTGAAAGCATGAACGTTCACAAAGTGACTTTTTGTTTTGTAACCAGAGCAGCTGCCATGTCTCCTCTTCGAATAGAGTCTTTATTTTCTGAGCATAGGAAGAGATCTGGAAAGGAAAATTACATTCAACAGACACACGTTGAAGCATAAAACTACAGAGCCGGGACGTGACATGGATGCAGGTTTTTTTTTTTAACGCCATTTTTTCGAACGTACCTGGAAATATATCCAGCAAGTTTTACCTCAGGCACAAATAATTTTTACTCTAAATGGATATTAATATTTAGAATGAATGATTTTCAGTATCCATTGTTGTAATGAAGCGTGGGCAAAATACAAATAAAATGCACGTGCAGATTACTGAAATGTGCTAGCATTTTAATAAAGACGTGCGTGTAAGTAACTAAAACATGTGTAATTTATAAAATGTGTGTGCGTGAGTATATATTGAGTATATCCCCTCCCAGGCTTGGTACAAAACATTGGGGACCTAGATAAATAGAAAAACCTGAATTGGTTAGGGGGGTTTGATCCCCAGCTCCTGCAGTCACATGTCCGATGTGTTTCTGGGCAAGACGCTTAACCCCAAATTGATACCGCTGCTTCGTCAGCAGCGTATGAATGTCTATGAAAGTGATTAGCTAATGCCGATGGTCACTTTACACAGCAGCCTCTGCCATCAGTGTGGGAATGTGTATGAATGGATGAGTTAATACTGATGGACTCTTTACTCAGCAGCCTCTACCATCAGTGTGTGAATGTGTATGAATGGATGAGTTAATACTGATGTTCACTTCACTCAGCAGCCTCTGCCATCAGTGTGTGAATGTGTATGAATGGATGAGTTAATACTGATGGACTCTTTACTCAGCAGCCTCTACCATCAGTGTGTGAATGTGTATGAATGGATGAGTTAATACTGATGGACACTTTACTCAGCAGCCTCTACCATCAGTGTGTGAATGTGTAGGTGTGACCTGCAGTGTAAAAGTACTGTGAGTAGTCAGAAGACTAGAAAAGCACTATAGACGCTTCACCATTTACCATTTGAATCAAGCAAGTTTTGGCGGTGGCTTGCCATCACATGTAGTAGTATTTTCATATCTCCCCCAACTCTTTCGTGAAAAATACCTGGCTGTTACGCTGCACAACCAGTAAAGCGTGTGGCTTGTGCAGTAAAACCATAACGGTGGCCTGAAGATGTCATCAAAGTCTATAGAGTTAAAGGCGGGTTTAATAAATCTGATGATAGTTAGTGCTAGTTAGTACAGCTTGCACAGCTTGCATATTGGAAATATTTGTTGTTGTATTGAATAACCATTTAGGGCTTCTATAACAAATACGATTCACTTAATTTTCCAGAAAGCTAATATGGTAGCAACGAAAAGGAGACTAAATGCAGTTGTATCCCTCGGGTTGGCTTTGCTTGTCTTGTTTTTTGATGGGAGCTATTTACAGTTTTTCCTTTTTTTTGTTTGTCTTCAGGAAGCAAAGGTCATGGTAGTGCCTTGTACAAGTGTTCAGCCGATAGAAGAGGCCCTGGAAGACTGCACCCGCAACGTGACCCCCATCATACTCTACGCCATCAACCAGGAATCTTTAAGTACGGAGCAGGTGGCTGAGCTCTGGAAGGTCAAAGAGATGCTCGGCTTTCCCGTCTGTTTTGTTCGTATCCCCGACACCATTCCAGCCACTTCGCCAGCTCCAGATCGTCGTGCTGAGAAGGAGAGGGAGAGGGAGAGGGACAGGGACAGGGACAGGGACAGGGACAGGGAGAGGGAAAAGACCCCCCTCCATAAGCAGCTCCTCTCCCTCGGCTTCCTCAGTAGCCCCACAGGAAACTGCTCCTGTGGCGCCCCCTCACAGGTGTCTGCTCCGGGTGCCAAGCCCCAAAGTATGCTGGGTGAAGCTTTTGAAAGACTGCATCGGTTACTGGTGCCTTTTGCTCGACAAGTTCTTCAAAACCAGCAGGTGGAGGCTGCAAACTTGCTTAACGGGCTTCATTGTCGGTGTCTAGATCTTTTCATTAACCAGGTGAGAGGAGGAGGCCTCATGTTCCTCACTATGTACAGTATATGATAGTGTTTTTGCTCAATACAAATTTGGCAGTCCTATAACAGTTTGGTCTCAGTCTCCTTTGACCCAGTATGCCCCTGAAAAAATCAATTATTAGATCTATAACATATGTGCGTCACTCTCATGCAGGCCTTTGACATGCAAAGGGATCTGCAGATAACTCCCCGCAGGCTGGAGTACACCCGAGAAAAAGAAGGCGAACTCTTCATCTCCCTCATGGCCATCGCAAACCGCAAACAGGAAGAGATGAAAGACATGATTGTGGAGACACTCAGCAGCATGAAGGAGCAGCTGCTGGAGGATGCTGCTAACCTGGAGTTTACAGGTTAGTGATTTAGGATTCTGGTGAAATGTTGCGAGGCTAGCAGGGTTTACCTTTTGAAGGTTTTTCATATTATTGTTGAAGACACTGGGTGGTACAGTACACAAAAACTACACTTTTATCATAACTTGTTTCCATGGTGACCTAGATTAACCCCGGTTTGAAATGTTGAGAATTTGACAATTTATTCCAAGTGTTTCTGATGTCAAATTAAGGCCAGAAAAAGAACAACATTCGGCCTAAAAAAATCAAAGTTGGTAAGAAAATTACTTAATAAATAAGATGACAGGGCATGGGCTGGCATAGCGGTTAGTTCACGCCCCATGAATACAGGCTGAAATCATTGAAGCAGGCCATCCGGGTTCGACTCTGACCCGCCTGTCTGACCTTCCACATGACATTACCAACTCTCTCCCCAGTTTCCTACCCTGTCCTCTAACCTATCTAAATCAAACTATTAAAAACCGAAAATAAATCTTCAATTAAAAAGTAAAAAAAAAGTCATAAACAGGATCCCTTAGTCTTTTTTGTTGTTGTGTGTAATTGCATGCACGTGATTGTAACGGATATTGGAGAGGACATATTTGACATTCTCAGTTGTTATATTTTTGTCATGTGTGGCGTCGGGTCAGTGGAGACAGTTTATACTTTTCTGTGACTCTGCTGCTGTGGGCCTTCTTAGGACAAGAAAACAAAGCTTCTTTGACACAGTATTAAGTGATGTGTTGTCATATCACATGCTTTGAATTATGTCTTCTAAACAAACAGACAAGCTGTGATTTTCAGCATTTTGATTCACTTGTTTGTTGTGAAAAGGCTAAATGATCATAACGTTATTTGTGACACTGTTTAGATTAACAGTTAACACGTTTCTCTTCAGTCAAAAGTCACAGTTAAAGGTCTTCTTTTTTTTTTTTTTTTTACCAAAAAGCAATAAAATCTTGTAAATGAATCTACAGTTATTTAAATAGCATTTCTGGATTTGACATTAGATCTACAAATGAATCTTCAAAAACAATGCACAAGAAACAGGAAGAAGACCCTCCAGTTGTAAGTTTTATTTTAGATTCCAGGAAGCAGGAAATATGATGTCTGCAGTCCACATCTGTGCTTTGATTATGTTACTACATTTTTAAACTGTTAAGGAAGGAATCCCTCTCTATTATTTCTTTATTCAAGAAGAGATTTGACTCGTGGAATCAGGACTGCCGTCTGGCCTGATTATTTTCACTTTGAGCTTTTCTCCCTCGGTTCATTGATGTGTCTGATGTGTCGCTAACAGAAGACTGGCTTGTTTTTACTAACTGACCATGGGTTCATGATACTCAAAGCCAGATTTTCTTTCCCCTGTCTGTTGACTGCAGTAGCAGACACCGTTGTGCCAGCTTCATTTCACAATCTGCCCACAAAGTTTTGCACCGTCTGACTCAACCATTGCGTGCAGCTGACGAGAGCCTTTCACTGGTTATTGCGTTCTGCTTCCTTCCTGCCTTTCTTCATTGGCTTTCTCCAAAAAGCATGTTTAGTGGGTTTCTCTTTTTCTGGAGGTCACTCATCATTCAGGAAACTAGCCCTATGGAAACAACGTGTTTAAACAGACTTAACGCCTGCTCTTGGGTTGAGATAATTCTGGCAATGTGAAACTAGTTGTGACTTAAGGATTAAAGGTGCCAAGAGGATTTTCTCATAAGGAAACAATGTTTCTGTTTACATTCGTTGTTACTCAAAACATTTCTATGTACCCCTTCAGTTCTATCAGAATCACCTGCTTCTCCCTCCAGATGAAACATGTCGAGGATAACTTTCTGAAAAATGTAATTTCCATTTTCAAGCCTGAATAGACAAAGTTGCACAAAGCAATAAAACAATCTAGATCTGGAATTTCTGACACACATAAAAAGGTGAAGCAACTTTTCCAAAAACACATGAAAGCAGTCCGTGCTAATGATGTCCAGTTACCTATTTATGAGTATGTAATAAAAAGAGACATTTTGTATGACTGCAAGAAGACCTCTGGATGTTGTAGATGTCTCGACAAACATTCTTTTAACATTTTATTTATGAAAACTTTATTCCCGTAATGTGAAATGTCCCTTTTTTCATGCACCAATACATGATGTTAAACATTAACAGACAGTTTCACACTACTGCGTTCCTCCATGTGGGTTCGTCACATACATGAATTATTAAACGACAAATCCTTTGCTTTCATCTGCAGACATCATTGTAACGACAAATGGAGAGCCTGTGACGTCGAAAGACATCAAATCTTGCATCCACCAGATCCAGGAACTGATCGTGGTCCGTTTGAATCAGGCGGTGGCAAATAAGCTGATCAGCTCCGTGGACTATCTGAGGGAAAGCTTTGTAGGAACTCTTGAGCGCTGTCTCAACAGTCTGGAAAAGTCTCACATTGACTATTCTGTCCACAATATCACCTCCAATCACCTCAAACAGGTGGGCAGCAGGTCATAGAAAAAATGTACCTTGTGAAGTATGTTTGCTGATGTTTAAATGTGAGCAGTATGATCACCAGCAGTTGAAATGCTGTGAGATGAATCACTTGCTCTGTTATCTATGTTCTATTTAATTAGATAAAATAGTGAACCCACTCAGGGGTGTGTCCAGAGGGGGGGCCAGAAGGTGGCACAGTCCAAAACTGTGATTGGCTTTTATGCAAAGTTATGCAAATGAGACATTGTGCAGGAGTTTGCGGCCACATTTTTTTTGTACTTTTAAATTCTGTCTTTGAACATACTTTGCCTTTTTGAGTCATTGTAGAATGAAGCTTAGAAGATATACTGTATATATTGCCATTATCTTGTGCTATAATGTAAATTGGATAGGTGAAGTTCGGCAGGGTTAATATATGATATGTGTTTGTGCGCACATAATAGGCCACCCCTGCAGAAGTCAGTGCCTCAGTCCAAAAAGTCTGGACATGCCCCTGAACCCATGTAATGATTAACATTTCTTTTAACAAAGCAAACCAAAACATGGAGTTCAAAGTGGTATCGAAGAGATTCTTGGAAAAACAATCAAAATTGAAGTTTTTATTTTTTTTAAAACTTTAGTAATAGTATGTCCTGCTCATTAGCCTTTGCTAACCTTCAGTGCCAGTAATCTTTAGACTTGAAGATGTTTCTCTGTTACTGAACATTTTAATAAATATTTACTCGTCCCCTCATCTCTCCCAGTTATTAAATGCTGCTTATCATGTGGAGGTCACCTTTCATTCTGGATCTTCTGTCACAAGACTTTTCTGGGAGCAAATCAAACAGGTCAGTACCTAATACATTTGACAGGAAGAGCATCAAATTGCTCAAGACTTCCAGAGGAGTGTTAATACTCTTTGTCTTGCTCCTAGATAATCCACAGGATAACCTTTGTGAACCCTCCGTCCATCACTCTAGAGTGGAAGCGTAAAGTGGCACAGGATGCCATAGAAAGTCTCAGTGCTGCCAAACTGGCCAGAAGCATCTGCTCCCAGTTCAGGACACGACTCAACAGCTCTCACGAGGCCTTTGCAGCATCTCTGCGCCAGGTGAACTTTCTCTTTTCTTTGCATTTTTTTGCTCATCTATCTCTATAACTTACTGCCTTGCCTGAAATACTGTTGCCTGTTTTATTTTTTTTATAAAGATACCTCTTTTGCAGACCAAATACTTTAAGGCTAACAAGTCTTAGTGTCCTCAAATAGACAGTAGTAGTTTGGTTAAGATAAGATTACATAAGGTTTAGTGGGGGATCCCCCAGCAACGCCCTTCAAACCATTAGCAAAGTCTGATTGAGTGCAGTGATAATGTAAGGGAGAGGAAGGATGAAAAAGAGAACGATGTATAAAATAATCCAGAATTACTGCATAATAATGGATCCAAACATATGGACAAAGAAATAAAACCATAGAATGCTGCATAAATGCATCAGGTAAGTGCTAAACAAGTTAATGTAACACCGGTGACAGTGCAGTAACACCTTTCAAAATGAATGCTGTCAGGCAACACAGGTTATTTATTGGAACAGACCCCTTCAAAAGGAGCGTTTGCTATCAAAATATCTTACAATTAAATACGGTAATTTAAACCGAGTGTCCCGCATCAGCTACTCAACATGCTGGCTGTGTGCTTGTTACTTACTTATAAGGGCACTTTGAATTATTCTGAAAGTACCACAGACATCATTCAATAGACTTGTGAGACAGTTCAATTGAAACCTCCATACTCTTGTGTTTATCTGCTCTTAGGCTCTGCACAGCTTAAAGTTCAGCGATTTATTCCTCTTTATTTGAACTGTTTTGCCTTTTAAGCCCCAGTGTGCAGATAGCTGTGACTCCCTCCATAAAGCCCCTGACAAATCATTATCAGTCAAATTGCTCTGATGATAATCGGCACATGACAGACAGTGTGGGTTCATTTCCATGCCTACACAAATACATTGATTAAGTATCTCTGTCTCAAAGAGGAGGTGATGTTGGGGGATGTTCTGCATGGTCAGGCCTTTTATAGACAGAAACTTTCTAATTTCATTAGGTCATTTATTTCTCAGAGAAATGCACAGTGCAGGAAAAAAAGCCCCAAAAAACACAAACACAAATAAACATCCAATGATTCTGTCACATTGCGGTCGGAAATACCACCGTCACAAGAAGTGTCCATGACTATTGGCAGTCCTGCAGTATGCAGTTTGATATGAATGAGCTGATATAAAAAGTTAAGTAGGGAGTATTATCAGTGGACAGTTAACCTGGTCAAATAAGAATTTAAAAGCGGGGACCTTTTTCTGCCCGAAGGACTTTGTAAGATGTTGCAACTATGGGATGTTTGTTGCATAATAGTGAGCTGGTGGAGTATCCATGTTTTAGTGGTTACAGTCAAATATTCAGTTCTTGTTTTAAACCATTTTCCCCTTTGTCTCAGTATGTCACTGCACACTAGAGATTCTGGTTTAAGGCCTTCCTCCGTGTGGGGTTAGAAAGGAAACAAACTTTTGTTTGATTGCCAGCCTATGAGCATTTTAGTTAATAACAGACAAAACAATGTTTAATAAGAGCAGATTAAGAACACATGGAGCCGGTGGCGATGCTCTGTCACGACCCAGGCTGATCTGTGGTTGTATAGAAGGACAGGCTTGGAAGACAAGGAGCTCAGTCTTTGATTGGTTGAGTTGAAGGTGGCGTTCTTTCATCAGTTTGGATATTTCTGCAAGGCATGATGAGATTCTTGCTGAGACAGTGGTGTATATTGAGAAGGGTAGGGGACCAAGCACTGGCCCTTGAGGCACCCTGTGGATAAGCTGTGTACTGTGTTCACTTCTCCATTTTAAGATTCTCCTGAGAGGTAGGACATGAACCAGCTGAGGGCAGATCCTGAGATGCCAAGCTCAGAGTGTGGAGAGGAAGATTTGGTGGTTCACTGTCTCAAAGGCAGCTAAGGACTGACCAGCAGCTCTATCCAAATGCAGCGATTCTGTTACAGATTCAAAGGCTGTTTTTGAAACCTCCTCCTACATACTATGTTTAATAGTAGTATGTTCAGGTTTATGCCTGCAAGTCGATGGTTATTTTTCAGTATGATGTGCCCAGCTAAACAACACCCCAGCTATTGGCAAACACTGCTAAAGTGTTGCATCCACTTACGGTCCGAAGAAAGCTGACAAGTGATTCCATTTGATTTTCATGATTTTTAGAATAAAAATAAATAATTGGAGGAATCTTTCTGTGGTTTGGTCTGATTGTGATTTTTTCCCTGTAACGATAGCCCTTGCACTTGGAATTGTGGGAAACAGTACGTGGGGAAGACTGGTCTGATGCATACTGTAAAGAATTTTCCTAATCAGTGAAACATCTGGGTACTTTTGGCATACTGTGGATCTCGCATTTGTTCGCACCCTGCATTTTTTTTGCCAGATCAGTATGCACTACTACTACTTTTTAAAAAAAACAGCCATACTGTTTTATTTTTCATTGAATGACTGTTCAGAGTGTTACAATTACAAAAAAAATCTGTCTTTTGCGAATAGCAGATCATGTTGGATAAAAAATAAGCAATTTTTTATTCATCACCCTCTGTTGATGATTGTAATTTGCAAATTTTCTTCACGTTATACATGTGGAGCAACGCAGCACACATTATCAAGCAACAACCAACCAAAGAAGAAGTACTACAGAATACAATTATTCAAATGACTAAACAGAGTAAAAGAACTGAAGACAGCAAATGATGAACATGCCATCAGTACTCTAAAAAGGATGAATAAATGAACTCTTCAACAAAGTAAACAGAGGTGATGTGAGCTAACCCATCAGAGCGACTGTATGAAAACATTCACATGAACTATAGGTCTCCAAACTTTTGCTGTCATGCCCCTGTCAGAGGCTGGAGAGAATTAATGACAGACCTCCCCTTCACTTTGACGGTTATTTATTGTCAACCTCTAGTTAAGAACCACAAGATAAATGTAGCAGGATGTTTGTGTTGATCAGGTCATGACAGCTGACCTGTAGTCTCTGAGAACGTGAGATCTGTAGTCCTGTAGATGGCTTTACACTGAGGTTTGAGAAAAGACGACAAAATGACATTTAACAGGATAAACTAAAGATGAATCGTATACATTTCATAGACATCAAAGAAAAGAACATTTAGAGAGTTGGCGTACATTTACTGAAGTATAATTTTCTGGTACTTATACTTAAATGTAGAACATCTGTCATTCTGCTTGATGCTTCCACATCCTTATATCTCTGAGGGAAATATTTACTTTTATTACTGCAGCTGCAAATCAATGCTGCGAAAAGTTGTATTTTATAAGTGTTTCATGTGTTGTTATGTAAAGACTAGGCATTGCAAGAGAATGAATCAGTTGTGTTTAGACTCTTAAGAAGTCTAGTGCCTGTTAAACGTTTCAGATATCCATGATGTTTTAAAAATTCAACCGAGAGGTTTTCTCTTTTAACTTCTGAGATTTGTTGAGTTTAAATGATTGTTGTAGGTTCAATGAGTTCTGATTTGAGAAATGACCCCTGGAAGGAAGTAAAATTTGAAATATAGGGCTTGGATGTGTAACAGAGTTTATTTTCCTCTGTGGTTTTGGTACCACCATTACATTAGAGTCTGCTTTAACCATCAGATGTGTTGTTTTAGTCAAATAAAAGTGGAATAGCTGTAAACAATTGAACCCAGTGATTTAGCAGCTGCTCTTAATGCTAACCATGAGATGCTTTGTCATGTGTTGGTGTCTGTAGCTGGAGGAAGGGCACACAGGGCGTCTGGAGCGCACTGAGGACCTGTGGCTGCGTGTGAGGAAAGACCACGCCCCTCGACTGGCCCGCTTGTCACTGGAGAGCCGCTCCCTCAGGGATGTGCTGCTGCATGGTGAGTCACCACCAAACCAGCTTTAACAAATTAAATCAAGCTTACAGTCTGCTCACACATTTTGTGAGTTCAAGCTTTGCGAATGGCTTTTTGTGATTCATGTATCGTAAAGTTTGTTTTTAAAAGAATATATGTGTATTTGATAAAAACACTGCACATCAATCTTTCTGCACCATGAAGCTCAAACATCAAAGGACTGCTACACTTTTCCAAGTAAAAAGAAACCCTGAGAACATGTTTTTTGGGGACACTAATCGCTTCAACTGCTGTTTAAAAAAAGTTCAGAAAATGTCAAAACCTCACCATGATTAGAATATCCACACATTTGATTTGTACTCTGCAACCTGTGTTTTTTTTCTACTGTGAGGTAAAAAAGGAATGCATTGTTCTTTGACAGGCAAACCGAAGCTGGGGCGAGAGTTGGGGAGGGGCCAATATGGAGTTGTGTACTTGTGTGACAGCTGGGGAGGACACTACCCATGTGCCTTGAAGTCTGTGGTACCGCCCGATGATAAACACTGGAACGACCTGGCTCTGGAGTTTCACTACACAAGGTGTGCTAGAAGAAGTGAATCAACAGCAAACACACAAACTTGTGCACTCAGCTGCTCTGATATGATCCACACAGCATTCTGTTTGCTCAAAGTCTAAAAACACAGTAGGTAAGATAAAAAACAGCACTCATTCAAAGCTGCCTGTGCATTTTGTAGGGCACACTCACACTAGGCAATTCGTACATTGCCCAAGTACGCTTGACCACCAAAGTCCAGTTCATTTGACTTGTCTGAGTGCTCTGTATTGGCACCTCCTTGGCACTAGCATGCTTGGAAGAGGTGGGCAACGTGAACATGAAGTCTAATCAATCCCTGCCTTACATTAACTCGAGGGCTGCATCTGACCAAAATGCAACAACACAAGCCACAAAAAGACCCTGAAGTTGCAGTCATGTTTCTCTGTCTCTGTTGTTAGATCAGAGAAAATGCAGCTTTCATACAGTCTATAGCTACTATTTCACAGCTACTGGAAAGTTTATGGGGGGGGGGGGGGGGGCTCTTTATTATCAACTCCACCCAGTGTACCTATACAGCCTCAAGGGTTTTCTTAGCACCTATTAAAGACAATTGATTAATGCTCATCTGCTCCAACTGCCATAAATGTGAGGAATGCAGCAAAACTATGAAGTCCTTACTGATGTGGACCAACAGGATGTAAGTGTATGTACTGTGACTTTAAGCTAACTAAAGTGCATTAATGATCCTATGATTAATATGTTGTATGCCCTTCTTCTCCTTGTTGCATGTCAGGACTTTGCCTAAACATGAGCGGCTCGTTGACCTGCATGGCTCCGTGATTGATCACACCTATGGGAGCGGCTCCAGCATTGCGGTGCTGCTCATCATGGAGCGGCTGCACAGAGACCTCTACACAGGCTTGAAGGTGCCTTGATAATGCCGAGTAGGATTAAAACAAACAAAAAAAAAAGGTTACACACTGTTATCCTCCATCTTAATCATACACACTGTCAGTTAAGTCTCCTTTGCTCTTTCTGTCTCTACAAGGCTGGATTATCACTGAGGGAGAGACTTCAGATCGCACTGGATGTGGTGGAGGGGATCCGCTTCCTGCATAGCCAGGGGCTCTTGCACAGAGACATAAAGCTAAAAAATGTACTGGTAAGTCCTACGAACTTCCAGGTCTTCTTACCTTGAAAAAAATAAATGTACATTGCTATTGGGCTGATGGTAATTTAGTGAATGAACTTAAATCAGATGTCAAATCAGTTTATTTGTGTTTTAGTGAACCACTTCACAAAAGATTATGAATCAATATGCAAAATGTAGCCTGCAGAAACTTTGAATGCAAACCTTTTTTAAGACTCTAGGTCTTACACATTGCTTTGTAATGTGTAGAACAAATCCATATTTGAAAAAAAGTGTTTTAAATATCATCAAGGTAAATGATGGTAAATGTATAAACTCGTAGACAAAAATGAGGGATGCTGAAGCAAACGGTGTGTATTTCTAATCCAAAACTGGTTCAAAATGTGACTTTTGCAACGTTTGGATGAATTTAATTAAGCTCTCTCTGTGTGTCTGTGTAATGTATTTTTCAAGCCTGCTTTCCCTGATTTCTTTTCCAGTTGGACAAACAAAATCGGGCCAAGATCACAGACCTAGGGTTCTGTAAACCAGAAGCCATGATGTCTGGCAGCATTGTTGGAACCCCGATCCACATGGCTCCAGAGCTGTTTACAGGTACATTTATAATTTCACCTCAAAGAAGCTTCTTTGAACACACACACACACACACACACACACACACACACACACACACACACACACACACACTCAGTATATGTCTCAGCGCATCATATCCACTTGTGCAGGTATACTGTATACCAGTCTCTTTAAGTCCTTCTCTCCATTGTGAACTTTTTCCTGTCAGGGAAGTATGATAACTCTGTGGATGTTTACGCCTTTGGGATCCTTTTCTGGTACCTCTGCACTGGCTCAGTGAAACTCCCAGAAGCCTTTGAGAAATGCTCTAGTAAGGATCAGCTCTGGAACAATGTTAAAAAAGGTAAACAAACTCTAAAAACACACACACAGTGTACATAATTTTAGTTCTGCTATGGAGACTGCCAGGTAACTCACTGATTGGATAGTTTTGGTGATGTCATCAGGCATCATAAGGGTCAGATGAATCATTGTGGGGAAATAATATGCAAATAACTTTAAATGTTGTAATGATTTTAAGTTATAATTACTTATTAGTCAAGACTATACAACACAGCATGTTATGAATAATTAAAAACATGTAGAAAAAATAAAATGGGTATCTTCAAAAATACAACTACGGTACATCTCATACCTAACTAAATTGCTTACTTTTAAAATGCAGTAAGACGCAGTTTTCAACTGATTTTTATAACTCAGATCAATGACGTAATTCGGTAAAAAGTTACATGTGTCACCTATATCTACTGATTTAGGCACATGTTATTGCCTTAGCTAAAACTGCACTAAAGTGAAGCTTAAATATCTAATGTTACAGTGGCTCTGATGTACAAAAATACAGATTTCACTGTTCTATATGGATAAAACAAACTTTAATTCATGTGGTGGTGTGTTCATATTATGGCATTTTATGACATTAAGATTTAAAGTCTTTATATGTGATTTTTCTCACTTAATTGTAATAGAAATCAAGTATATCCTCTGAAAATAACTCTGTGAGTCATGACTGTGTACAATGGGTGTAACACCCGAGTCCCACTGTCTGTGATGTTTTCAGAGTTTTCAGAGTCCTATCTTCACTTTGTTTACATGTCGGGACGGCCGGCTGACTCCTCCCCTCACGTATAAAAGTTGTTTAATTGAGGGACTAGAGAAAAGAAGAATAACATACTGTACTCACTGCTTAACTGTGTTTCTAGATCACGCTCATTTCAGGTAAATTTACATGCAGTGTGACGATACGAGCATAATAAAGATTGCTAGCATGCTAACACAACAATGCAGCGCGAGTTGTTTTGGTTTCATGCTGGTGCTCAAGGGCGACATCTGCTGGATCAAAAAATCACATATAAAGCCTTTAAAGATATATAATTTGAATTTTTAACCCCTGTATTAACATGACATATTTCAAGATTCTTGCTGATACAACACCCTATATTCACTTACCAACTATCAACACTGTCTGTGGTGAGTCAGTATTCTGTCATACCACAAAATAAAAACTGCACCAGTTTGTGTGGGAATGAGTCATCTGGCAGGTTGAAAGAGCAACTGAAGTTTTACAGTCAAAATAAACCAAAGAAGAATAATAACTTGTTTTAGATCATACAAAAAAACAGGTGTTAAAGAAGCATGACCTAAGCCTACAGAGGGCAGTGCTAAATCACAACATCAAGCGTACCTGAGGCCCATTCATGCAAATTTAAAACCTAAGAAAGCATTTTCAAACATCTCAGACTGTTTAGTGTCTGAGGACTTCCTTTGGTTCTAGCTGTGAGTGTCTTTGTGTCTCACTGTTGTCTGCAGGAGCCAGACCTGAGCGCTTGCCTTCTTTCGATGAGGAATGCTGGCAGCTGATGGAGGCCTGCTGGAACGGAGACCCTTCCCAGAGGCCCCTGCTCGGAATAGTAGAGCCCCGCCTACAAAGCATCATGGTCCGGCTCTGCAACTTAGGCTCGGAGCAGAAAAGCAGCAGCCTCGAGGACTCAAACTGAAAACACTCCAGAAAAAACTAACACGTGTGTGAATGTGATCAGGAAAATATTTTTCATGTATTTATAAGGAACGCAGGTGAACAGAGAACTGATGGAGAAGAGGTAAATGGTGTTGGAGCTTTTTCTCCTTGTTCACAGTTGTTGGATGGACATTATTTATGAGGAGCTGACACAGACCAGATGTTTGAAAATGTGTCTGTTTTACTCTGTTTGTGTGTTGTGTATTTGTAAACAAACTCTACAATAAGCTTTTGTCGTAGCTGCCGTGCTAATTGCTACCTTGTTGTTAGAATTGTTACTAGATGCAAATTGTTTTAAAAGTAGTCCACTCCAAGTATTATTAAAAATATAAATATATAAAAGAGTAATTTTAGATTGTATTTAAACTGAACATGTCTGCATCTATACAAAAAACAAGTTTTTTTTAAATAAAATGATCTGTTACCACACGTGATTATGTCATCTCTTCGTTGATCACGGTAAGATGAAAGAAAAGTTTGATGCTGTTTCTCAGTGACAGGAACTGGAACATCAACACTACAGTGCAAGTGAAACATTGTGTTCCTACTTTTCTTGGTACTAAAACGTACACGATCAATCTTGTTGAAATGTTTTAGATTAAGCAGGGCTGTCTTACTCTCGTCTGTTTCAGTTAAGACTTCTCAAACTGAAGCTGTCCATGTTTTGATGTTTTGGCTTTTTAAATTGAGCTGTTTTTGTGTCTGTAGAATGAGTGTTGTGCTTCCTTTTGTTTTTCTTTGTCATCTTATCAAATCTAGTTAAAGAATCACTATCTGAAAGTTATTGCTGTTCATGTTCTTTTAATTTGTTAAGACATTGTTAAATCAAGTCTGCTTTGTTCCTGTTTGGAAAGCCGCTGGAGCTCAGCCGAGGGGATGCACTAGCACCATCTAGTGACGCTTTTATGCTCCTGCCTTCTCTGTATACTTTTAGTTAAAATTGATGAAAACAGAACTGATGAATATTTCATTTTCAGACTAAACTGTCTCAGGAGTCACATTGTTCAGAGTTCATTATTATCTTCCCCTCCCTTAAACATCTGCTGAGAAAACAAAATGTTCAAAAGCACCAGATTTGTTATTTTTGTAGAGCTGCCTATCCTTTTCTTCGACAGCCAAAATTATGTTAAGTCCATCATTTAGATATTTTCTAATTTTAGAAAATAATTACAACAGATTTCAAGCTTTAGAGTAAGATTATCTCTAACAAATTGTTTACTTTATCCATTTTTACTTATTGCAGCAACCAGGTGTCCATCTAGAGAACTAGAAGTAGATTGGAAAAAGGCTAAAACTTATAAATCAGTCCCTTCCCCCTACTTTTTCTACTATAGATAAAAGCTTTCATGTCAAGGACTTAAATCTTTGTCCCTATTAAGAGTCAGGATTACGTACTTGAGTTTAACCTCAGACTGATTTGAAGTTCCCCTGAAAGACTCACCTCTGAGATACAGAGATACACACGATGCCAGGCCACCATTCTAACTGGAATCGTCTCTGTTACTGGTCTAATTCTCATTAAATCCTTCAGAAAGTTTTTTTTTCCTGGTCAAAAAACTTACAGTTCCAATATGTAGCCCATATTCTGTAACGATCACCTCAATATCCAAAGATTCTAATTTCATATTAATTGTCATGGTCATAATCAGGCTTACATTTCTGCTATTCAACACTTCGTCATTTAGCTATTTTTCAAAGCAGAGGTAAGACTTTAACAGAAGCATGTACCTTCATATCAGATGCATTATATTTCACAGGAGTAAAAATATAAATAAGTAATGACTGTAGATGTGGCACTGAAGGAGAGGTGAGGTAAGACTGGAATGGTAGAAAACAGTTTAATCAGTAAAAACAGGAGCTGCAGAGTCAAAGAGACTATTCTCTGTTGGGACACCAGACTGGATATGATTGATCTGTTCATACTGGCTCATATGTAATGACAATTATTTACAATAAAGTCACATGGTTAATGATATGGCATCCACAAATATCACATGACTTTGAAAAGAAGTAACTCTGATAAAATTCATAAAAGCAGTTTACATCTTTACTTACATTTAAAGATATGTCCTTGATTCATTTACAGGCTACTCTGTACAGATCAAACAGTTTTACAGCACGACTCTGCATGTATTTCTTTATTTGACAAAATGACAAAAGGCTGCGTATCTAATCTATAAAATACAGCTGTTTAGTCACTGAACTCGCATGAATGCATTCATCTGAACACATCGATGAAAAATGAGAGCACTTTAAATATCCATACAAAAAATTGGGCCCTCAGTGATTTACGAAAGATGTATCAAATGTCCTTTGAGTCCTTTGTGGGTCTGCAGGCGCAGGTTCTCCCTCCTGATAGGCTGAGCAGTGCAGTCTGTTGTCCTTCATTAGGGGGGGGACATAGCTTATACGGAGCTACCATTAACCAGTAGATACAGCCACTCTTTAGTCCTTGTTTTCAGGATCAGTGTCTGTGAACGAGCTGCACTCCAACTCTTTGTGCCTCGTGGACGTTTGAGGCGTTTAAAGAAAGTCTTCAGACTGAAACATAAAAACAGCTCCAACAGAAACAGGCGAACCAGGAAGAGATATCACAAACAAGTAGCGTTTTGAAAGTGGAATTTCCCTGAATGTTTGCGAGTCTAAAACTAAATGACCCTCCCAAAATCAAAAACAAAAACATGATCACGTTAATGCTCCACAGTCTTTATAAAAACAACATTTATGTTCTTGAACACTTACAAAAAAAGTTAAACAAAATAATAAATTGAGCAGTGAATTAAAAAAAAGTGCATTGCTTCAAGTATGTAAACAAAATGATTTGTTTAAAGGGAGAGTGACATTTGTTGTGTCAGTGTGCGTGAGCCTGGACCAGTGCTGTGACTCCTGAGGTTTGGCACACATGTATGAACTCAAACACACACACAAACACACACGTACAATGTCTGGAGGGAATTCCTTCTTTTTTCCACATTTGTCTTCATGGGGGAAGTCCGCTGCTCCCTTTTTTTCAGTTGTCGTTGTCAGATGTGGAGGAATGAGGCTCTATGACCTGCAAAGACACACCCCTCTGTCAGCGCCGTCACATGGTGGTGTTGCAGTGGCTGCTGGGAACATGGGGCGGGGCGGGAGAGAGATGAGTTGGATGGAGAGCAAGGTGCAGCACAAACACAAAACGAAAACACAAAAGGAACGGATGAATCAACACGAGAGGATGAAACACACACACACACACACACACACACACACACACACACACACACACACACACACACACACACACACACACACACACACACACACACACACACACACACACACACACACACACAGTGATCCTGATTGTGGTAAATGAGGATCAGAGTTTCATGGGATAAAATTAAAGTATAAAAATCTATGATTTAAGAAGAGGGGGAGGGAGCAAAGACGGTTGATTAGTGAACTTCTATTTTACATTAAAGTTAAAAAGACAATTTGAATATTCTCTACGAGTAAAGCATTTCTAAGTGCCTTTGATAAACACTTATCAAGTGGATATACCATGTGAATCCACAGCTTTTTATCTACAGGTTAGTACTGAAACTCCAAAAATGTTTGTAGTGTTGATACTTTGAACAATCTTTTTCAACTCAACTCGATCTAAATCCGACTAGGGACAAAACTTGAACTGAGGAACTTCATCAAGTTCCTCAATTCTTCATTAAGAGAACTTTTCTTAGCTAAAGCTGTGGCCGTGTTGCCTAGGCTGTTTAATTTGCATTAAAGAACTTGATAAGTTGGTAAATCTGTGTGTCTGAAGGAAGTGATGTTTAAAACTGAAAACTACATATAAATAGAAAGAGTTGAAACAAGAAGTTTCTAACAAAGACCTGAGGTATGCTTCATAAATCATTCATGTTGCTTCATCACTACATTTAGATGAACTGCTTCCTGCTTCATTGAAAATGGTTAGGACGTTTAGTGTAGATTCAGGACGGGTGCTGTCTTCGTTTGGTTTAACTTTTACATTGAAGATAGTTCTGTGAGTATGAGACGGACCACAAGCAATGAAAACATCACTGAGGACAGGTCGTAGAGTGACGCAGACATTTGAGGGACAAACAGAGGGACTTGTGTGACACACAGTGATACAGATCCAACGAGCTCACAGAAACTACACACATCATGCACATAGTGTGGCTCGGGTGTACACTCACTCTGATCCCGATGAGTCGCCGTCCACAGTCCCCGCCTTGATGCTCATGGCAACACCGTTCAGCTGATCGGGGAAGACGTGTTTAGTGGGACCGGCACGTCTGTCACTCGAGCAGGACCCCTGTGGAGACCCCGTGTCGGGAGCATTTTCACAGAGTTCATTGTGGATGCGGTTCAGACCGTTCCTTTCTACAATAGGAGACAGCTGCTTCTTCTTTAGGATCCCTGAACAGGATAAAAACAAAATGTCACATCCTTAGGAAAATGTGCAGATTTTTCTTTCTGTTTATATTTATTGAAAATATGAGAAAAAAAGGGACAGTGGTGTGTCCAGACTCCGACAGACCTTTACCTCTGTGAGGGTGGGCATGGAGGTTTGGCAGACTGGGCAGCAGCACCGTCATGCTGTCCTGTGTCCGCCCGTCTGGTAACGTTCGCCCATCGCGGCTGAGACTCTGATCCTGATAGGCCAAAGTCTCTGATTTCAATCTGTCTGCAGCTGCTAGCTTGCTGTCGCTCCCTGCTGCGGTGTAATCTACAGGCCAGTAACTCTTATTCAGAGTGTTGTCTGAAAAACAAAATGAACGACATGAAGTCGACACAGTCATATCAGTTTAATGTTATCATCAGAGGTGTCAAAAGTATTGACATTCATTACTGAGGTAGAAGTATAGATACTAGGGTTTAAAAATACTTCTGTAGAAGTTGAAGTATCAACTCAAGCTTTTTACTCAAGTAAAAGTGTCAAAGTACTGGTTTCAAAACTACTTCCAAGTATAAAAGTAAAAGTAATGTAAGGGGAAAAAAATGCCATTAAGGACAAAAGCTTAGGCCACGCCACAGGGGCCTATAGTGCACTACCCCTCCCCAAAAACATTTTTCTAAAGGCCATAATGACTATAATGTTATATATATCTCCAGGTGCAAAACAGAGCGCTTCAGGTGCTCCTTTGTGCCCACTGCCATAAGACTGTATAACCGCAGCCTATGACAACAATAACAGTACGTCCTTGACACAAAACTTCACCCCAATAAAACACTACCCACATGACCTGCTTCATTATTATCATTGTATTATTATTATTATTATTTAGCATCAATATATATATACATATATACTGTACATTCTATATATTTTTATTATATTATTATACTAGTCTATATTATATAACATTTCATTATATTACACTATATTGTTCATATTATACTACATTATATTATATAACTGCACTC